GGTGACAAAACGGATGGCACTATGATAGACTACATCCATTGTAAATGACATCGCCGAAGTCAAGGATCGGTGGGATAGTCCTTTTAACGAGGGAATGTTTGGCAGCATGAGTGAAGGAGGCTTTGTTGCGAAATAGGAATCTGATTCTAGATCTAACTTTTGATTGGAGATGCTTAATGTGAGTCTGGAAGGAGAGTTTACAGTCTAACCAGACACCTAGGTATTTGTAGTTGTCCACATACTCTAGGTCAGACCCGTCGAGAGGAGTGATTCTAGTCGGGTGGGCGGGTGCAAGCAGCGTTCGGTTGAAGAGCATGCATTTAGTTTTACTAGTGTTTAAGAGCAGTTGGAGGCTACGGAAGGAGTGTTTGGCATTGAAGCTAGTTTTGGAGGTTTGTTAACACAGTGTCCAATGAAGGGCCAGATGTATACAAAATGGTGTCGTCCGCATAGAGGTGGATCCGAGCGTCACCAGCAGCAAGAGCGACATCATTGATATACACAGAGAATAGAGTCGGCCCAGAGAATTGAACCCTGTGGCACCCCCATAGAGACTGCCAGAGGTCCAGACAACAGGCCCTCCGATTTGACACATTGAACTCTATCTGAGAAGTAGTTGGTGAACCAGGCGAGGCAGTCATTTGAGAAACCAAGGCTATTTAGTCTGCCAATAAGAATGCGGTGGTTGACAGAGTCGAAAGCCTTGGCCAGGTCGATGAAGACGGCTGCGCAGTACTGTCTTTTATCGATCGCGGTTATAATATCGTTTAGGACCTTGAGCGTGGCTGAGGTGCACCCATGACTAGCTCGGAAACCGGCTTGCATAGCGGAGAAGGTACGGTGGGATTCGAAATGGTCGGTGATCTGTTTGTTAACTTGGCTTTCAAATACTTTCGAAGGGCAGGGCAGGATGGATATAGGTCTGTAACAGTTTGGATCTAGAGTGTCACCCCCTTTGAAGAGGGGGATGACCGCGGCAGCTTTCCAATCTGGGGATCTCAGACGTTACGAAAGAGAGGTTGAACAGGCTAGTAATAGGGGTTGCGACAATTTCGGCGGCTAATTTGAGAAAGAAAGGGTCCAGATTGTTCAGCTCTTTCAGAACATCAGCTGTCTGAATTTGTGTGAAGGAGGCGGGAGGGGAATGGGCAAGTTGTAGCGGAGGGTGCAGAGCTTGTGGCCGGGGTAGTGGTAGCCAGGTGAAAAGCATGGCCAGCCATAGCAAAATGCTTGTTGAAATTCTCGATTATTGTCGATTTATCGGTGGTGACAGTGTTTCCTAGCCTCAGTGCAGTGGGCAGTTGGGAGGAGGTGCTTTTATTCTCCATGGACTTTACAGTGTCCCTGAAAAGTTGCATATCGCGGGGGCTGTTCGATGCTAATGCAGTACCCCACAGGTTGTTTTTGTGCTTGTCAAGGGCAGTCAAGTCTGAGGAGAACCATTTTAATCAGCTTCTTGATTTGCCACACCTGTCAGGTGGATGGATTAATTTGGCAAAGGAGAAATGCTCCCTAACAGGGATGTAAACAAATTTGTGCACAACATTTGAGAGAAATAAGCTTTTTGTGTGTGTGGACATTTTCTTGGATCTTTTATTTCAGCTCATGAAACATGGGACCAACACTTTACATTTTTGTTCAGTGTAATTTGAGCTTTGTTAACAAGTGCTTTCATAAGTGTGTTACGTGAATCAACCTGCTACGAAAATCTAATCTGATGTTAATTTGACAAAAGCTGGATCCCTTTCAGCCATAACCGGCTGGTGTTCGTAGACGGCCATGTTTTGTTATTTATTAGGCCTAATTAAAATGTTACTGCCTAGGCTAAATTAAATTAGAGGCTTAGATTGTATTTGAAAACAGCTGTGTTTTTTATTTATTAATGAACATTTTCATACAAATGGGTAGTTAGCAAATTATCTTATACAAATATAATATTTTAAAATTGTATTCCTGTGTAGGCTTCTTGGCTAAATGTTTTTTTCTTAAATGATTTTCATTTATGATTTATAGTAGGGATGAAGACGCAGCGGGCTATGTTTTGCTTTTCAATAAAACCTGTCATGTTGGTATAAGAACATCGTTCTACTTTTATATTACAATTTTACAGGCTAATTTCTATTGTTAAGATGAATTACAATAATCTAAATGTGATTTTGAACACCGTGGGTGGACGCCCTAATGCGTGCATATGGATGTCCGGTACATTTCTCAAATGTCCAAATTTTCCTAACAGAAACCTTGTCGTGGATGCATGTCCTATTCTTTTGGGTTAACTTGCTCATATCAAGCAACACGTAGCAGACCGTTTGTGGGAAGGTAATAAGTGCATGATCGGACAGTGAAACTAAAATCGATTGGTAGCTAGCTGGTGAGGATTTCATTTATTACCAGCTAAAGTAGCTTTTCCCAAATTGTTCGGTTGGCGCTAACTGCTCATGCCAGTGGCACGAGCTAGCTAAACAGACAGCGCTGTAGAGCATCTGTGTTACCTCACGCACTCAAGAAGGCTCAACCAATCACCCAACGGATTCTGTGTCGAATCATGAATATTCACGAAATTACCCCCGCCTTCCTACGGAGGGACATTTTGTGGACCGTTGGGCGACGCGAGCATGGGCGAGGGAGCGTGAAAAGGGCGGGACCGAAGTTGGGGAAACTGAACTTTATGCAAATACTCTGACGTCCCAATGCTTTTGACCAATTGAAGCGCCACAATGTCCTTTTAAAGGAAAACAGTTTTTTAGGAAAACCAATAGTGTGTGATTGCGGCCCGTAATTTGGGGTGTTCCTGCATCATTAATGTGCTATGTTTTAGCTTAAATGTATTTGTAATCTGATGCGTTGGATAGCAGCTGTAACGGATACCAGCCACCCCACCCCTCTTTTATCAAAGCTGTAAGGAAGTGATGTAATAAATTAACAAACGCCCTCACCATAACGTTAACAGGACTGTGGGAAAGCAGTGCTCGGCAGGCGGTGCGAAGGACACTGTCTGCCGGTGTACCAGCTAGCTAGTGGTCTCGCCCCCACCTGTGTACCGGAGTCCTTGCTTAAAAATGGACCAATAGAGGTATAAAGAGGGGTTCCTACAGATGCAGGAATGCCCACGTGCAGGAACGCCCAGAATTTCGGGCTGCAATCACACCCTTCTCAGTAAAACCGGCAACTACTTGCAATTCTACACATTTTGACATTGGGCAGAGAATTTGTTTTGCAGTTTTATAGGTAATCTCATGCTATTCTACAGGTTTTGCCTTGAGGTTGAGGATTTTGTAGTTTAAAAGCTACTTTTCTGTCATTCTAAATATTTTTTTGGGGGGGGGAGCCTCGCAGGGGTGCGTCCTACGCCACTGATCCAGTCTATACATGAATCATATCTATTAATCACTTGAAATGAAAGTTGCACTCCAGTTTCCTTTTCACCTAATTTATTACCTGATTTACTGAACAAAAGGCTCATCTTAATAGGTGGCCCAGGTATCCTCATGACATCAGTGTAGCCGAAGTGTTATTGTGTGGACCTATATTCATTATATAATCATTGCTGAGATTGTGGAGGAGCATATTGAATTACAGATAAGAATGTAGGCTAGGTCATTTGGTCAATAGTTTCAGAAATGAGGTGTATATACTGTATCTGTAAACTTTATTTAGCTTGGATTGAGTTTGGAGATTTACTAATTTTACACACTTTGAGGAGATAATTTGATCATATATTCTTGACATGTTTTCTTCTTCATTTTTCAGGAAACTGACAACCCAAGATCAGCCAGTTGAGGACACCTGAGCCCCCCTTTGTACTGTGACGGTCTTGTGCCACAATGCTTGGCCTTCAGGGAAGCACCTCATCCCCTAAAATGTATCGCTGTGTGGCTTGTTCAGCCACCTTTACTGGATTGGCATCCTTGTTGGTGCACCAAGCTTCTCATGCAGTTCAATATGACAAGCAACCACCACTATCTGAGAAGCAGCCTCTCTGCACTCACTGTGGTGAAGTGTTTTCAAACAATGAGCTCCTAGACCAGCACTGCTGCAAAGCACTACCTGAGACCCCGGCTCCCTCTCTTTTTATCTGTGATTGTGGGGATGAGTTTCAGAACTTTAATGAAATGCTTGAGCATAAAAGATCTCATGTCTCAACCCCCCAGCAGCAGACCCAGGAGACTGATGCCAGATATTCGAGCCAAGGAGAATGCAATCTGATTGAACCTGCCCAACCAGTCTCCCCTCAGCCAACCCTTAGCCAAACCATTTTGGGCCTCAGTCCCCCCTCTCATTCCTCACCCCTTTCTCCTGTCATACCTTGTTCAATTCTCCCACCGCTTAATAGCACATTCACCGTTCCTGAAGTCTATACAAATAAGGGATTTATTGCCCTAACCAGACCTCCAGGCCCAAGTGAGCAAGAATTACAGCCTGAAGGGCTTGACCAACCTGAGAACATCTCTACTGCACAGGAACCCTCGGCACAATCCGTCCAGGATGAGTCTCCTGAGGATACAGACTGTCCCGTCACAAGCAGCGTAGCTTCAGAAGATGCCGGCGCACCTAAGAATAAGACAATAATGAAGATGATAGCAAATGCCTACATGAAACGTTTTCAACCTGCTCAACACTACCCATTAAGACACAAGAGACATGTGGTCCCCAAAAGAGAGCTTATACCAGTGGAGGTAACCACAGAATCCAAACAAACAGCAGCATCCACAGCAGGGCCAACTATTGGCCAGTTACGACACCTGCTTACAAAGTCTGGTGCAAAGACAATAACCCGTCCATCTAGCAGTAGTGGTATCATATCTTTGACTCAGACCTTCTGCCCTGTGGTAGTTCTTGAGACCCGCCAAAAGCTTATTGATTCTAGCAATAGGGCCACACAGGGGAGATATCAATGTGGCCGCTGCCGGAGAGTTTTTCAGGATTTGGACAGCTTGACAGTGCATCATGCCTTACACAGGAAAGAGATAGTGAAGTGTTGTCGTCACTGTAAACAACTGATGATTGGAAAACCACCCCTGCCAGACAACCACATCTGTCCCCTGGCTCCCCAGCACCTTACCTCAGTGGGGAGTAAGTACCCCTCTATCAACAAGACTGCATCATTCCATAATCAAAAGCAAAAGAGGCAACAACAGCAAAGAAGCTTCCAAAATGTTAAAGCTAGGACGCCATACTTTTGTCAAGTGTGCAAGCACAGCTATGCCCGTAGGTATAATCTCAATGTGCACAAGTGTCAGGGGCCACCCAATCCTTCTGCATTTGGGACAAACATTAAAGCAAGGGAGCCTTTCACAGGCATCAACCAGAGGCCTCTGATCTCCAAAAGCATCGGTGTGGGCACTGACATCACTCGTCAGATAAAGGAGGAGGTGATATCTGCAAGGCAACATCCTCAGTTTCCTGATTTGCTCTGGTCCGGTTCACCTAAAAGCTTCTCATCCTTCGATCCCAAAGTTTCCAAACATGTAACACCAGGAGAAATTGATTCAGGATCTGCGACACTACAGCAAGGAGATGGAGTAGGTGAAGATAGTTTTAAACAAGGAGGGAGAGATGGAGAATGGACAATGCCTTTAGATGATTCTGAGATCGACGTGCTGATTGAGGCAGTAGATGCAGAAGACGACGATGATTTAATGCTACAAGAACCTATTTCTCAGGGTAATGTCGAGTCCACCAAGGATGGCGTGCCTTATTTCATAAAAGACGGTGCTAGACGTTTTCCCTGCTATAGATGTCAGAAAACTTACAGTCGAGGGTGCACATTAAAAAAGCATCAAAGGCTGTGTGGAAATAGGTCATTTCTGCCACAATCTACCTTCGGGGCGGTAGCACAGAAAGTCAACAAGGGTCAATTCCAATTTGATTGCCATGTCTGTGGGAGGAGCTTTAACCGCAAAGATAACATGTTGGTTCATAGGAAGAAGTGCCAGTTAAGTAGAACCGTGGCCAGGAATGATAATGGACATTTACAACAGTGCATATCAGCAGCCCAGGCACCACCACGTCTCGGGGCACAAAGTAGTAAAAGTCAGGAGGATAATGGGGCAAATTGGGGTATTATGTCATTGCCCAATGTTCTCCCCAGGAGAGTGACGTGTGAGTGTGGGGCAGGCTTCACATCCCCACGGCTCCTCCTAGAGCATTTGCAAAAGCATGCACAGGAGTCCTACACCTGCCCCACATGTGGTGAGACACTGAGTTCCTGGGCAGACTATGAAGTCCACCTACAAGTGCACATGCAACCTCGGCACCAGATGTACGGGGGAATGCAACCGCAGAGCTCTCCACCTCTACTGCTGAGGTTTCCACAGCAGCCACGTCAACGTCGGCAGCCCCTGCCAAAGCAGCGACCTGCGCTTCCGCAACACACTCTGCCAGCGCAGCGTCCTCAGCCAAATCAACAACCTCTGCGGAAGCCTAGGAAGCAGCAGCCGCGCAGTGTGTGCATACGATGCAGCAACACCTTTTGCAGTCGGGGCGCGCTGCTAAAGCACCTCTCCTGGAATCGGTGCAAAGGTGACAGAGGTGCCGTTTCAGCGAAGGCAAACCACTGTTCTCGCTGCAGCATGGACTTCCCCAATGGCCTCAGCCTCAAGTTTCACCAGCTAAATGGAATGTGCAAACCTGCCTTGAAGCCCATGCGTTGCCCTGTGTGCGTGCGCTGGTTTGGCACTGTGGAGGGACTCCAGAAACACCTGCAAACACACGACCAGACCAATTCGTTCCGCTGCCTCATCTGCCAGCGCCTCTATCCCAGCCTCCGGTCACTGAAAGACCACCGCAGAAAGGTCCATTGCATTTTGTCTGGAGACACAGCGCAGGTTACAGAATAATGAGAATGAATGCTCTGAAAATCATAATCCAAGTGAACATATATGAACAATGATTTTAGCAAAGTAATGTTTTTGCAAGATCGGTTATTGATTTGAGGGATGTCTTGTGTAACCATATAATCATTTTATTGTACTATACTACTTTGATTCTATTTTCACTGTCTAGCAATAGACTTTTCTTGCTCACTTGAACCTATTTTCATGGTCATAGTTGTAAACTGTTGTATTGTGCTGTAAAATGCAATGATGTTCTTAGCTTGTTCTTAAAGGGATACTTTGGGATTTTGGCAATGAAGCCCTTTATCTACTTCCCCAGGGTCCGATAAACTCATGAATACCATTTTTATGTCTCTGCATAAAGTATGAAGGAAGTTAGAGGTAGTTTTGCTAGTTACCGTAGACTTTGTCATTGCGCTAACGCTAGTTAGCGAATTCCTTAAAACTGCACGCGGAGACTTAAAAATGGTATCCACAAGTTCATCTGACTCTGGGAAGTAGATTAAGGGCTTCATTGCCAAAATCCTGAAGTATCCCTTTAACTCCTCTTCAGCCATCATTAAAATGTGCCACTTATTGTTCAAGTGCTATTTTAGGTTGTGCTAAAACGTTGATGGTTATATCTTAGTGTGGTAGCTATCAGTGCATTGTGGAGGAAACAATTGTAAGTGAATATACACTACAGAGTATGTGCACACCTGCTCGTCGAACTTCATTCCAAAATCATGAGCATTAATATGGAGTTGGTCCCCCCCTTTGCTCCTATAACAGAATCCACTCTTCTTGGAAGGCTTTCCACTAGATGTTGGAACATTGCTGCGGGAACTAGCTTCCATTCAGCCACGAGCATTAGTGAGGTCGGGCACTGATGTTGGGCGATTAGGCCTGGCTCGCAGTCGGCGTTCCCATTCATCCCAAAGGTGTTCGGTGGGGTTGAGGTCAGGGCTCTGTGCAGGCCAGTCAAGTTCTTCCTCACCGAACTCGACAAACCATTTCTGTATGGACCTCGCTTTGTGCACAGGGGCATTGTCATGCTGAAACAGGAAAGGGCCTTCCCCAAACTGTTGCCACAAAGTTAGAAGCACAGAATCATCTAGAATGTAATTGTATGCTGTAGCGTTAAGATTTCCTGTCAATGGAAGTAAGAAAAACCATGAAAAACAGCCCCAGACCACTATTCCTCCTCCACCAAACTTTACAGTTGGCACTGTGCATTGGGGCAGGTAGCGTTCTCCTGGCATCCACCAAACCCAGATTCGTCTGTTGGACTGCCAGATGGTGAAGTGTGATTCATCGCTCCAGAGAACACGTTTCCATTGCTCCAATGGCGGCGAGCTTCACACCACTCCAGCCGACGCTTGGCATTGCGCGTGGGGATCTTAGGCTTGTGTGCGGCTGCTCGGCCATGGAAACCCATTTCATGGAACTCCCGACGAACAGTTCTTGTGCTGATGTTCCAAACTGCATCTGGAAGCTCGTTAGTGAGTGTTGCAACCGAGGACAGACAATTTTTACGTGCTTCAGCACTCGGCGGACCTGTTCTGTGAGCTAGATGCTTCCACTTCACAATAACGGCACTTACAGTTGACCAGGGCAGCTCTAGCAGGGCAGACATTTGACGAACTGACTTGTTGGAAAGGTGGCATCGTATGATGGTGCTACGTTGAAAGTCATTGAGCTGTTCAGTAAGGCCATTCTACTGCCAGTGTTTGTCTATGGAGATTGCATGGTGGTGTGCTCAATTTTATTCACTGTCAGCAACGGGTGTGGCTGAAATAGCCGAATCCATTAATTTGAAGGGTTGTCCACATACTTTTGTGTTGTGTGTATGTATAGTGTATCTGAGCACTTCCATCAAAACAGAAATGTATAGGAAATAGCATGTAGTGTGTGTTGCTCCTTGTTTTAATAAAGCCCCATTAATAGATGAAAGATTTGAGTTGATTGTCACTAACAAGGTTTCCAATCATTTTATGTGTATGAATTACCTGACAGAAAAACTCATGACAGGCCTGATGGAAACAGAACATTTCTTGGTAAAATGTCCTAATGTCGACAAAATAAATATGCCACACAAGTAAACAATGCGATGGTAACCTATTGAATGTTTTAATTTATTTGGTACATAAAAACGTAAGCAAAAAATGCTTTTTGTGTGGGGTCCTAATAGTTTGTAGCCCAAATGGTTCGGACACTACCAAACAGAAGTCGACCTTGCCGACTTCAGACGAGTCTCGACACTTGTGGTGTTTATGAGAGTATCCCCTTTCCAAAGAGTGGTCATAATAGTTTGTAGGTCAAACTACAGACGTTTTCGTGAGAAGACCGGTTTTCGGGATGTCTCATGGTCTGACAACCACTCAAGCCCTTTCACCACAGATGCGGAAGTGCAACACTGGGGGATGTGGCGGATTGAGATGCAGCCAATGCAAAAAAAATGCATCTAGTTTAAACTGAGTTTTGATGGGGATTTTTTAAAATGTAATTTAGATTAATTCACCAGTGCATTAATCGACTCTAGGGGGCTTACATCCGTTTTTGTGTGCCACGAATTAAGTAGGAGGTAAAGGCTATACTATTTACAGAATCTTCCCATTTAAAAGACTGGTACTATTTGGTGAAATGTAAATGGACCACAGGGGGGGACTGACTGGTTGACCATTAAAGCTTAAAAAGGAGCATCTAAAAACGGTATATTTCACAGACTTGTTTTTAGGATAATGTGTGATAATGAATATGTTGATAATTGAGCATTTTTCCAATCTTTGCCTTCTTCCTAGCGTCGTACAAACCATCCTGATCTCGCGAACTTACATTCTGTGTAGCGGAACGGAATGTTAACTTGTGAGATCAGGATGGTTTGTACTAGGCTAGCTCCCCTCTTCCCTTCATTCACACATTACCAGACTCAACCAGAGATACTGGATATAATGACACGATGCTTGTCTCCACCCTAACAATGAGATTCTTGTCCACAGAGTGGAACAGCGGGCTGTCAAACTCCCGCCTATTCTTCTCTTTGGATTGGTGGATACATCTCGTCATTTTAATATCTATTTGAATATGCAATTAGGGGTGTTAACGTCAACCGCCTGTATTCAATGGAGAGTGAGATTCTATGCTAGCTTCTTAAATATACATAGACGCCTCAATTTTCACCAGGAATAACCAGAAGTGTTTTTTCTCCAAGTAGCCGGGATGTCCCGTGCATCACACTTATATCAGTACACTTGTTACAACCTAAGCATTACGAAACTTCTATTTGATCAAATAAACCTCATGTATAAAAACAGCTATTAATTTTTATCTTGACTAAATTCGACATTGACCCCCATACAAAAACGTCTCTCTTGCTAAGTAATTAATGTTGAAGCTGAACGAGAGATTCACTGAAGATGGCGGAAACGGATGATGAAGTGGAATCTGAATACAATGGCGGGAGAATTGGAGTATTGTTCAAAAGAATGGAAAACTGAGCAAAATAGGGTACAGTGATGAGAATGACCCTTCCTATCTAGTAGGAGTACGGTTTGTTAATAAGGAGCAGCTGAGCAGAGTACCAATCTTGAAGAAACCATTTGAGTTATCCAAACTGGTGGAGAGAGTGGTGGGTAAAGTGAAGGATATGAGGATCACGAGAGGCGGGCTTGTTTAGATTTTTTGTGATTCTGCTGAACAGAAGGAAAGTGCGTTGTGTCTTAATCGATTTGATACGTTTGAAGTGTTGTGTGTGTCTTTTCGGAACAGGCACCCCTTAAGGGGGTTATATCTGGCGTTTCGTGGGAAGTTGATTTGGAAGAGATGAAAAATATTGCTGGAGTGATTGAAGCACGTCGGATGAATCGAGTGGTGAATAGGGAAAAAGTGAAGAGTTTATGTTATTTTATTTTATTTTATGGAGTCTCCCTAATGAAGTGCGGTTAGGGTATATTAACTACAGAGTTGGAGCATTTATCCCAAGAACAATGCAGTGTAGCCTTTTTCTGTAGCCTGTCAACTATGTGTCTGTCTATCCCTGTTCTCTCCTCTCTGCACAGGCCATACGCTTCACACCGCGTGGCTGCTGCCGCTCTAATCTGGTGGTCCCTGCGCGCACGACCCACGTGGAGTTCCAGGTCTCCGGCAGCCTCTGGAGCTGCCGTTCTGTGGCCAACAAGGCAGAGTTCATCTCAGCCTATGCTACCCTCCAGTCCCTCGACTTCTTGGCGCTGACGGAAACATGGATTACCACTGAAAACACTGCTACTCCTACTGCTCTTTCCTCGTCTGACCATGTGTTCTCGCATACCCCGAGAGCATCTGGTCAGCGCGGCGGTGGCACAGGAATCCTCATCTCTCCCATGTGGACATTCTTTATTTTTCCCCTGACCCATCTGTCTATCTCCTCATTTGAATTCCATGCTGTCACAGTCACTAGCCCATTCAAGCTTAACATCCTTGTCATTTATCGCCCTCCAGGTTCCCTTGGCGAGTTCATCAATGAGCTTGACGCCTTGATAAGTTCCTTTCCTGAGGATGGCTCACCCCTCACAGTTCTGGGTGACTTTAACCTCCCTACGTCTGCCTTTGACTCATTTCTCTCTGCCTCCTTCTTTCCACTCCTTTCCTCTTTTGACCTCACCCTCTCACCGTCCCCCCCTACCCACAAGGCAGGCAATACGCTTGACCTCATCTTTACTAGATGCTGTTCTACTATTCTCACTGCAACTCCCCTACAAGTCTCCGACCACTACTTTGTATCCTTTTCTCTCTCGCTCTCCTCCAACACTACTCACTCTGCCCCTACTCAGATGGTAATGTGCCGTCGCAACCTTCACTCTCTCTCTCCCGCGACTCTCCTCTTCCATCCTATCATCTCTTCCCTCTGCTAAATCCTTCTCCCTCCGATCTCCTGATTCTGCCTCCTCAACCCTCCTCTCCTCCCTTTCTGCATCTTTGGACTCTCTATGTCCCCTATCCTCCCGGCCGGCTCGGTCCTCCCCTCCTGCTCTGTGGCTTGACGACTCATTGCGAGCTCACAGAAGAGGGCTCCGGGCAGCCGAGCGGAAATGGAGGAAAACTAGACTCCCTGCGGACCTGTCATCTTTTCACTCCCTCCTCTCTACATTCTCTTCCTCTGTTTCCGCTGCTAAAGCCACTTTCTACCACTCTAAATGTCAAGCCTCTGCCTCTAACCCTAGGAAGCTCTTTGCCACCTTCTCCTCCCTGCTGAATCCTCCTCCTCCTCCCTCTCTGTGGATGACTTCGTCAACCATTTTGAAAAGAAGGTTGATGACATCCGATCCTCATTTATTAAGTCAAAAGACACCGCTGGTCCTGCTCACACTGCCCTACCCTATGCTTTGACTTCTTTCTCCCCTCTCTCCAGATGAAATCTTGCGACTTGTGACGGCCGGCCGCCCAACAACCTGCCCGCTTGACCCTATCCCCTCCTCTCTTCTCCTTGACTGCTGGCCATGTCCCTTCCGTCTTCAAGAGAGCGAGAGTTGCACCCCTCCTCAAAAAACCTACACTCGATCCCTCCGATGTCAACATCTACAGACCAGTATCCCTTCTTTCTGTTCTCTCCAAAACTCTTGAGCATGCCGTCTCTAGCCAACTCTCCTGCTATCTCTCTCAGAATTATCTTCTTGATCCAAACCAGTCAGGTTTCAAGACTGGTCATTCAACTGAGACTGCTCTTCTCTGTGTCACGGAGGCTCTCCGCACTGCTAAAGCTAACTCTCTCTCCTCTGCTCTTATCCTTCTAGACCTATCCGCTGCCTTTGATACTGTGAACCATCAGATCCTCCTCTCCACCCTCTCCGAGTTGGGCATCTCCGGCGCTGCTCACTCTTGGATTGCGTCCTACCTGACAGGTCGCTCCTACCAGGTGGCGTGGCGAGAATCTGTTTCCGCACCACATGCTCTCACCACTGGTCTCCCAGGGCTCAGTTCTAGGCCCTCTCCTATTCTCTCTATACACCAAGTCACTTGGCTCTGTCATATTCTCACATGGTCTCTCCTGTCATTGCTACGCAGACGACACACAATTCATTTTCTCCTTTCCCCCTTCTGATAACCAGGTGGCGAATCACATCTCTGCATGTCTGGCAGACATATCGTCAGGGCGGCAGGTAGCTTAGTGGTTAAGAGCGTTGTACCAGTAACCGAAAGGTCGCTGGTTCTAATCCCCAAGCCGACTAGGTGAAAAATCTGTCGATGTGCCCTTGAGCAAGGCACTTAACCCTAATTGCTCCTGTAAGTCGCTCTGGATAAGAGCGTCTGTTAAATGACCAATTTATTTATTTATTTATTTTATATCAGTGTGGATGTCGGTTCACCACCTCAAGCTGAACCTCGGCAAGACCGAGCTGCTCTTCCTCCCGGGGAAGGACTGCCCGCTCCATGATCTCGCCATCATGGTTGACAACTCCATTGTGTCCTCCTCCCAGAGTACAAAGAACCTTGGCGTGACCCTGGACAACACCCTGTCGTTCTCCGCTAACATCAAAGCGGTGACCCGATCCTGCAGGTTCATGCTCTACAACATTCGCAGAGTACGACCCTACCTTACACAGAAAGCGGCACAGGTCCTAATCCAGGCACTTGTCATCTCCCGTCTGGATTACTGCAACTCGCTGTTGGCTGGGCTCCCTGCCTGTGCCATTAAACCCCTCCAACTTATCCAGAACGCTGCAGCCCGTCTGGTTGTCAACCTTCCCAAGTTCTCTCATGTCACCCCGCTCCTCCGCACACTCCACTGGCTTCCAGTTGAGGCTCGCATCTACTACAAGACCATGGTGCTTGCCTACGGAGCTGTGAGGGGAACGGCACCTCCTTACCTTCAGGCTCTGATCAGACCCTACACCCAAACGAGGGCACTACGTTCATCCACCTCTGGCCTGCTAGCCCCACTACCTCTACGGAAGCACAGTTCCCGCTCAGCCCAGTCAAAGCTATTTGCTGCTCTGGCACCCCAATGGTGGAACAAGCTCCAGTGGATAGGTCTTCATTGCAGGCTGCAGGGGTTGTCTTACACCAAGAGGATCCTGACATTTTAAAGTTTCAAAAGGTGGACTTTGTGGCCTTTATCACAATGGTGATAAATGGCACTGCCAAGATGGAGAAAAGATCTAGGAAGATTGAAATCATTGTGATTGCAGCAGATCGGTTCCTGGGGCTGAAAGATTTCACAGCAAAGGATTTACATGGAATATTAGCAAAAGACGTACCACCTTCTCAGGTCCTACGGCTTGAGAAAAGAGATCTGGAGAACCAAAAGTAGGAAGAAGTGGAAGTTTTGTTTGTTTTGGCAATGTACTCTTTTTATTAGGGTGGATTGTTAGAATCACTAAGTATGGATTTTATTTTATTTTGGGTTTCAAACCGTCCAGTTGGTGGCGGCAATACAACTGTTGGATGTAGTCCTCCATAAAACCCACAGAAGAAGAATAATTAATGTTCTGTAGACAGATTTTGGGCGGAGTAAACCCTCTCGCTTCGCCTCTTCCTCTTTGACTCAACTAATCAACTTGCATTCTCCAACCCGACAGGCGGCAGTGTTACATTGTATTTGCAAGTTTACCCGCCAACGAAACGAAGTAAGTTGTATTTTCCACCTCGCTGCTGCGTTCCAAAATTCAGCCTATAAGGTTATGAAATATGAATAAGGTTACGTAGCAATGACATCGCTAGATTACAAATGTCCGAATTTTAGATGATCAATGGCAGTAATATGAACGTGGATAGCAGTGACTCGCAGGTGTAAGGTAATGCTGCTAACGTTAGCTAGGCTAGCTATGTTTGGGGGATGGATAGCTAACGTTAGCTAGCTAACTATACTAACAAACATTTCCTAGGCTGGCTAGCTATATAGTTCGGTGTGTATATATACCAAATATAATTACTTGTGTCGATGTATTATTAAGCTATAGTTTGCAGATTGGGTTTTCGCTTTTGAACACCCTACTGGTCCAAGAAACAAAGACCGCCATATAGTCCATGATGAGGCAGACCCCCAAATATGGACCAGCGCCGGGCTAGTTAGCTAGTTAAGTCTAAAGGCTAGCACGCCCTACAGCTACCTACTGTTGTGTTGCTGAATTATGTGCTCCTCTTTTTATGCAATACTTCCCTGTGGATATATCATTTGTAATCAGTACTGTTGAACAGGCTTTCAAAACTAATATCCTTTTTGTTACCTCAGACACTCCAGAGAGACCCTATTCTACATGAATCATCGCATCAAGGACAGGTCAAGATGCAAAAGCGGAACTATATGAAAGGGAAAAGGGAGCATGGTGATGGTGGACCCCCTTTTTGCTTTAGTTGTGAAATGATCTTTCCAGACCAAACGTCATTTCATGACCACTTTTGTCCTGCGGCGGGTTACATCTGCTCCTGTGGAACAGAGTTCTCCATGTATGTTGATATGATGGACCACAGCGGATTACATGAACCAGGCCACACGGTAATTAATTATAGCACCATAAAGAAGGAACAATATCAGAGGGAGAGAGAGTACAAGGAGCAGCTTTCGAGGCTGGTATTGAAGGCGGGGCAGGGAAGCTGGGCTGGGCAGGAAAGCTGGGCTGTGCCTGCACCAACTCCGATGCTATCGGCCCCTATGCAACGAGCCACAAAGCCTCCACCTGGTCCAAGTGCCCCAACAACGGACCTCTGGCACCAATTCCAGCCAGTGGTGTTGGTGGAGACCCTGCGCAAGTTTGGTAGGACAAAGCCCTACAGGTGTGCCTACTGTGAACTGGGCTTTGCAACAAAAGACTTACTCTTATGGCACCACAACACTCATGCAAGAAATAAAGTCCATGGCTGCCTGCGGTGCGGGTTGCTCCTGCTCAGCAACAACAAGTCACCCCAGCCTGGCCACCACCAGTGTGGCTCTTATCGGGCAACTCCTGAAACCAGATTCACCACTGCCACAGTGCTGAGTAACAGGAAACAGCCCGCGGGGTATGCTAAGAAGGTTGTCCAGCGTCAGCACTGTCCTGACCCGTTCAGTGGGGAGCTGCAGCTAGGGATGCATATGGTCTCACAGCAGCCCGTTCCAGGGACTTCTGGAACAAAATACTTGAAGTGTAGAGTGTGTCAGGAGCTCTTCCAAACTGTCAAGCTGCTCGAGAGGCACCGTTGCACAATGGCGGCGTCCTTTTTTGCGCAGGAACTGGGTCAGACGTCTGGCAAACAGCTCAATGGTCACAGAAAAGGGAAGGAGGGGACCAGCCCATACTCCTTGCCTCGAAGGAATGGTGACAAGGAGCTGGCGTTCAACATTCAAACTTCGACGAATGTAACTGTATACGACCACAAGGCAGTAGGCCCGGATAGGGGCACCGGGTTGTCTGCCGTTTCTGTAAAAACAGAGGTTTCGGATGATGACTGTTTTGTGATTGAGGATGCGTTCTCGTGCTAGTCGGAACTAGGAAACTCTGAAATTTCCGACTTGCTAACTGGTTGAACTCGGCACGTGTATAACTACAACCAGTTAGCAAGTAGGACATTTCCGTGTTTCCTAGTTCCGACTTGCACGTGAATGTGGCATAAAAGCGCCTTCACCAAACCAAGTCAGCTGTTATACCAACAATTAACCTCTTCCCTCCCAGTACTGCAGACATGAACAGTGCAAATGTGAACCCACTGCATTTGCAATGGACATAAACATCTTCTATGGGTTATGGGTTTGGTCCCTTTTCGTAAGGTTATCTTATCTAACTATTCAATTTAAAACTAATCTGTCAGTAGCCTAGATTTTATTTTTTACCCCGTTTTTTAATTTTATTATGAGTTGTGTGTTTGTCAAATGACATTGAAAATGTTACATATGCAGTATCAAATCAGTCTGTATGGGTCAGATAACCACAAACATTGTATGATAGTTTGTCTTTTGAAAATGCTGTTAGTTTTTTTTACAGTAGCTTAGCTGAACATTTGGTATAAGCAGCATTGGCCATTAGCCATTTATGTGGTCTTGGAATAAAATAAAGTATTGTTTTGTTTCCGCTCTCTCCCTTTCCTTTGTAGCAACTAAGGTGTAATTATCTTTGTGTGTCTTTCATATTTCAGGGACTAATGCAATAGCTACAGCCATAAGTGATAGCTGGAAAAGGCTATACAAACACTCCTGACCTGCAAAACACATTTTTATTTCAGAATTACTTAAAATAAGGTTACGGTTAGAGGTAGGGTTAAGGTAAGGGTCAGTTTTAGATTTTGGTAGGTTGTTTTACAAGTCACTGTCTGTTATAGCCTCTGCCATTTGAGCATAATGGATATGCAGATAATGTATTCACTGATTGCTTGTGATAGCTCTCTGACATAGTTTGTCACTTGTGTATGAACATAGCATAGCAAAATAGAGGTTAGTCGTCTTAGGATATTTTGATATGAGAATTTTATAAGCACCGCACAGAAAGTTGTTTTGGGAAATAATTTGTATTAATTTTTTTACACCGGTTGTCCACCTTTGATGAGGTAAGCATGTGACGCCATTTCCGGCCTACCGGATGTTGAGTGAGGAGAAAAAAACAATTGAATCACGAATACAATAAGCTCACATTTTAAATAATGTCACACAACATTGTATCTGAACGTTGTCGTAAACATGAATGTTATGTGCAATGCATTATTTATACATTTTGATATTTGTCGGCTTTGGACTACAACACGGTATGTTGACATTAGCTAGCTAGTAGCTTTCATCATGTCGACAGGTATCTAACTGGTGGTTCGAGGACAAGTCTGCACTAACACATATTTGGGTGAGTAACCACGAGTCTTACATTAAACAGATCTAGCTATGGCGTGCATGTTTCTTCTTTAGCTAGCGAGCTAACTGGATTTAGAGCATGTTTTCTAACATGTCGGCCTACCTGCAGAGTTTCGCTATAGCTAACGTTAGTTGACCCAGTGCCTTCCGAAAGTATTCACACCCCTAGAGTTTTTCCACTTTTTGTTGTGTTATAGCCTGAATTTAAAATTGCGAATTTGTCACAGGCCTACACACAATACCCCATAATGTCAAAGTGGAATTATGTTTTTAGAAATTTTTACAAATGAAAAGCTGAAATGTCTTGAGTCAATAAGTGTGCAACCCCTTTGTTATGGCAAGCCTAAATAAGTTCAGGAGTAAAAATGTGCTTAAGTCACCTAAGTTGCATGGACTCACTCTGTGTGCAATAGTGTTTAACATGATTTTTGAACGACTACCTCATCTCTGTACATACAATTATCTGTAAGGTCCCTCAGTCGAGTTGTGAATTTCAGACCGATTCAACCACAAAGACCAGGGAGGTTTTCCAATGTTTTGCAAAGAAGGGCACCTATTGGTAAAAAATAAAAATGCAGACATTGAATATCCCTTTGAACTTGAAGTTATTAATTACACTGGATGGTGTATCAATACACTCAGTCACTACAAAGATACAGGCGTCCTTCCTAACTCAGTTGCCAGAGAGGATGGATCAACAACATTGTAGTTACTCCACAATACTAACATAAATGACAGTGAAAATAAGCCTGTACAGAATAAACATTCCAAAACATGCGTCCTGTTTGCAATAAGGCACTAAAGTAAAACTGCAAATGTGGCAAAGAAATTAACTTTATGTCCTGAATACAAAGCGTTATGTTTGGGGCAAATCCAACATTTACATTTACGTCATTTAGCAGAAGCTCTTATCCAGAGCGACTTACAAATTGGTGCATTCAAGTTATGATAGCCAGTGGGACAACCACTTATTATTTATTTTTTTATAGGGGGGGTAGAAGTATTACTTTAATACTATTCCAGGTATTCCTTAAAGAGGTAGGGTTTCAAGTGTCTCCGGAAGGTGGTCAGTGACTCCGCTGTCGTGGTGGAGCTTGTTCCACCATTGGGGTGCCAGAGAAGTGAATAGCTTTGACTGGGCTGGGCGGGAACTGTGCTTCCGTAGAGGTAGGGGGGCTAGCAGGCCAGAGGTGGATGAACATAGTGCCCTCGTTTGGGTGTAGTGTCTGATCAGAGCCTGAAGGTAATGAGGTGCCGTTCCCCTCACAGCTCCGTAGGCAAGCACCATGGTCTTGTAGTAGATGCGAGCTTCAACTGGAAGCCAGTGGAGTGTGCGGAGGAGCGGGGTGACATAAGAGAACTTGGGAAGGTTGAACACCAGACGGGCTGCAGCGTTCTGGATAAGTTGTAAGGGTTTAATGGCACAGGCAGGGAGCCCAGCCAACAGCGAGTTGCAGTAATCCGACGGAGATGACAAGTGCCTGATTAGGACCTGTGCCGCTTCCTGTGTAAGGCAGGGTCGTACTCTCTCGAATGTTGTAGAGCATGAACCTGCAGGATCGGTCACCGCTTGATGTTAGCGGAGAACAACAGGGGTGTTGTCCAGGGTCACGCCAAGGTTCTTTGCACTCTGGGAGGAGGACACAATGGGAGTTGTCAACCGTGATGGTGAGATCATGGAGCGGGCAGTCCTTCCCCGGGAGGAAGCAGCAGCTCGGTCTTGCCGAGGTTCAGCTTGAGGTGGTGATCCGACATCCCCACTGATATTCTGCCAGACATGCAGAGATGCGATTCGCCACCTGGTTATCAGAAGGGGGAAAGGAGAAGTAATTGTGTGTCGTCTGCGTAGCAATGATAGGAGAGACCATGTGAGGATATGACAGAGCCCAGTGACTTGGTTTATAGAGAGAATAGGAGAGGGCATAGAACTGAGCCCTGGGGGACACCAGTGGTGAGAGCATGTGTGCGGAGACAGATTCTCGCCACGCCACCTGGTAGGAGCGACGTCAGGTAGGACGCAATCCACAGAGTGAGCAGCGCCGGAGATGCCCAACTCGAGAGGGTGGAGAGGAGGATCTGATGGTTCACAGTATCAAAGGCAGCAGATAGGTCTAGAAGGATAAGAGCAGAGGAGAGAGAGTTAGCTTTAGCAGTGCGGAGAGCCTCCGTGACACGGAAGAGCAGTCTCAGTTGAATGACCAGTCTTGAAACCTGACTGGTTTGGATCAAGAAGGTCATTCAGAGAGAGATAGCAGGAGAGTTGGCTAGAGACGGCACGCTCAAGAGTTTTGGAGAGAAAAGACAGAAGGGATACTGGTCTGTAGTTGTTGACATCAGAGGGATCAAGTATAGGTTTTTTGAGGGATGCAACTCTCGCTCTCTTGAAGACTGAAGGGACATGGCCAGCCGTCAAGGATGAGTTGATGAGCGAGGTGAGGTAAGGGAGAAGGTCTCCGGAAATGGTCTGGAGAAGAGAGGAGGGGATAGGGTCAAGCGGGCAGGTTGTTGGGTGGCCGGCCGTCACAAGTCGCAAGATTTCATCTGGAGAGAGAGGGGAGAAAGAAGTCAAAGCATAGGGTAGGGCAGGGCAGTGTGAGCAGGACCAGCGGTGTCATTTGACTTAATAAATGAGGATCGGATGTCGTCAACCTTCTTTTCAAAATGGTTGACGAAGTCATCCACAGAGAGGGAGGAGGAGGATTCAGCAGGGAGGAGAAGGTGGCAAAGAGCTTCCTATGGTTAGAGGCAGAGGCTTGAAATTTAGAGTGGTAGAAAGTGGCTTTAGCAGCGGAAACAGAGGAAGAGAATATAGAGAGAAGGGAGTGAAAAGATGACAGGTCCGCAGGGAGTCTAGTTTTCCTCCATTTCCGCTCGGCTGCCCGAAGCCCTCTTCTGTGAGCTCGCAATGAGTCGTCAAGTCACGGAGCAGGAGGGGAGGACCGAGCCGGCTGGGAGGATAGGGGACATAGAGAGTCAAAAGATGCAGAAAGGGAGGAGGAGGGTTGAGGAGGCAGAATCAGGAGATCGGAGATAGAAGGATTTAGCAGAGGGAAGAGATGATAGGATGGAAGAGGAGAGTAGCGGGAGAGAGAGAGTGAAGGTTGCGACGGCACATTACCATCTGAGTAGGGGCAGAGTGAGTAGTGTTGGAGGAGAGCGAGAGAGAAAAGGATACAAAGTAGAGGTCGGAGACTTGGAGGGGAGTTGCAGTGAGATTAGTAGAAGAACAGCATCTAGTAAAGATGAGGTCAAGCGTATTGCCTGCCTTGTGAGTAGGGGGGGACGGTGAGAGGGTGAGGTCAAAAGAGGAAAGGAGTGGAAAGGAGGCAGAGAGAAATTAGTCAAAGGCAGACGTAGGGAGGTTAAAGTCACCCAGAACTGTGAGGGGTGAGCCATCCTCAGGAAATAAGCTTATCAAGGCGTCAAGCTCATTGATGAACTCTCCAAGGTAACCTGGAGGGCGATAAATAAGGATGTTAAGCTTGAATGGGCTAGTGACGGTGACAGCATGGAATTCAAATGAGGAGATAGACAGATGGGTCAGGGGGAAAAAAGAGAATGTCCACTTGGGAGAGATGAGGATTCCTGTGCCACCGCCGCGCTGACCAGATGCTCTCGGAGTATGCGAGAACACATGATCAGACGAGGAAAGAGCAGTAGGAGTAGCAGTGTTTTCTGTGGTAATCCATGTTTCCGTCAGCGCCAAGAAGTCGAGGAACTGGAGGGTAGCATAGGCTGTTCGGCAGTTCCAGAGGCTGCCAGAGACCTGGAACTCCACGTGGGTCGTGCGCGCAGGGACCACCAGATTTGAGTGGCAGCAGCCACGCGGTGTGAAGCGTTTGTATGGCCTGTGCAGAGAGGAGAGAACAGGGATAGACAGACACATAGTTGACAGGCTACAGAAAAGGCTACAATAATGCAAAGGAAATCGGAATGAAATTTACCAAACATCTGGGAAAGCGAGAGAGCGGGGCCTCCCTCACTTACGTTTCACTGAAACACTCAAATATAACTCTCCCAACTTCCACTTTAGAAATTATAGAGTACCACTCTTCATATTTTCAAACATGGAGGTAGCTGCATCATGTTATGGGATGCTTGTCATCGGCAAGGACTAGGGAGTTTTTTATTTTTATAAAAATAAACGGAATAGAGCTAAGCACAGGCAAAATCCTAGAGGAAAACCTGGTTCAGTCTGCTTTCCAACAGACACTGGGAGACTAAATTAATCTTTCAGCAGGTCAATAACCTAAAACACAAAGCCAAATATACACAGGAGTTGCTTACCAAGATGACATTGAATGTTCCTGAGTGGCCTAGTTACAGTTTTGACATAAATCGGCTTCAAAATCTATGGCAAGACTTGAAAATGACTGTCTGACAATGATCAACAATCAACTTGACAGAGCTTGAAGAATTTTAAAAAGAATGTGTAAATATTGTACAATCCAGGTATGCAAAGTTCTTTGAGCAGTGGTGTCAAGCTCATTCCAGGGAGGGCCTAGTGTCTGCTTGTTTTTGTTTTTTAACTTTCAATTAAGACCTAGACAACCAGGTGAGGGGAGTTCCTTACTAATTTGTGACCTTAATTCAAGTACAAGGAAAGAGCGAAAACCTGCAGATACTTGGCCCTCCGTGGAATGAGTTTTTGTCACTTGTGTCTTAGAGACTTACCCAGAAAGACTCACAGCTGTAATCGCTGCCAAAGGTGATTCTAACATGTATTCACTCGGGTGTGAATACTTATGTAAATGAGATATTTCAGTATTTAATTTACAATAAATGTGAGAAAAAAAATCTAAAAACATGTTTTCACTTTGTCATTATAGGGTATTGTGTGTAGAAGGGTGAGAAAATATATTGAATCAGTTTTGAATTCAGGCTGTAACACAATAAAATGTGAAATATGTCAAGGGGTATGAATACTTTCTGAAGGCACTGTAGCTAGCTGCCTACAGCGACAAGAGGAATGGATTTGATTTGGGAATTTCCGTAGTTAGTTATTTTCACTTCGATTAGATCATCTGGATGTCAGACAGCCTCTATGGGTTGTGGTGCCTACAACTTATCAATTTGATTCAATGCATGGAAGACAGAAGTTGAAACACTCAAACCCAACAGAACAACAATGCATCAGTGTGTGAGTATGTGAGGTACATGTGGGCTGTTGTTTGGTGGGACAATTTGAATGACAGCATGGAAATAATATGGGATAAAATGTTGCACAGGCTGCTAAATACTGGTGCATAAATACAGATGCAAAATGTAGTGGTATGTTTATATATTTCTTTTTTTCAAGTCAGTAGCAGTAACTGCTATTCCAGTTTCAACTGTTCTGCCTGCGGTTACGAAACCCCTACCTGTCCCAGACCTGCTGTTTTCAACTCTTAATGATCGGCTATGAAAAGCCAACTGAGAGACCTGAGCCCTAGGACCATACGTCGGGACTACCGGCCGTGGTGACTCCTTGCTGTCCCCAGTCCGCCTGGCCTTGCTGCTATTCCAGTTTCAACTGTTCTGCCTGCGGTTATGGAACCCCTACCTGTCCCAGACCTGCTGTTTTCAACTCTTAATGATCGGCTATGAAAAGCCAACTGAGATTTATTCCTGATTATTATTTGACCATGCTTGTCACTTATGAACATTTTTGAACATCTTGGCATGGTTCTGTTATAACCTCCACCCGGCACAGCCAGAAGAGGACTGGCCACCCCTCATAGCCTGGTTCCTCTCTAGGTTTCTTCCTAGGTTTTGGCCTTTCTAGGGAGTTTTTCCTAGCCACCGTGCTTCTACACCTGCATTACTAGCTGTTTGGGGTTTTAGGCTGGGTTTCTGTACAGCACTTCGAGATATTAGCTGATGTACGAAGGGCTATATAAAATAAAATTGATTGATTGAGTAGCACAGCCCCATCCCTGTCTTGTCCCAATCTATGGAAGGGGTGTTCTTGGCCATTCTTGCAAGGGGCCCCACAGGGTGGGGGGATTATGTGTTGTGAGGGGCCCCAGCAAGACTGACTAACATTTCTGCAACGTGTGCAAAGGGGAAGTTAACTCAAATTACAACCTAACATGACTGTTAGTTCGATAACCCAAGACAGTTTTCGGATATGCATTTTGTTAAGTTATGATGTAGAATCAGGTGGCTCAAACTTCTATCTTCTGTTAAGGTACCTGGAGACGGTAGTGGGGGTTACCTGGCTAGTTTGTGGTGGAAGAGGAGAAGCATGTTTTGAACAAAAACTGGATGATCGTTCTTGCCTGGGCTGCTATTGGAGGATCTACGTTAAACATTTACATTTTCCTCATCAGTCCCGCCAGAGAGCCTGCCTAAAAATAAAGACCGTAAGTATTAAAATAGCATAAGAAAGTCACTCATGTGATGGAAATACTAGCGTCTTGTTACTAGTATTCCAGAGGCTAGAAAAATTCCATCCTGAATCTAGTTTTAATGAAAATTCTCCTCTTGCCTATGTTTGGTTTGAAAACACAGAGCAAGAGACTGACTGACATGGGAAGTAAAATGTCCCTCAGTAGAGGAGTCAATGATGAGGAAACGGAGTCAGCCGTATCTGCTGTCCATAGCAACCCTCCTGAACCCTTGCCTGCCCTGACTAACGAGAAATCGGTAACTACTGATACTGGCAATGGAGACACTACTGTTCTAATGTGTCCCTCTTCAGGGTGTTTTCATGTCTATAACTGTGTATCTCATACAATATACAGTGGGGAAAAAAGTATTTAGTCAGCCACCAATTGTGCAAGTTCTCCCACTTAAAAATATGGGAGAGGCCTGTATTTTCCATCATAGGTACACGTCAACTATGACAGACAAAATGAGAAAAAAGTTTCCAGAAAATCACATTGTAGGATTTTAAATGAATTTATTTGCAAATTATGGTGGAAAATAAGTATTTGGTCAATAACAAAAGTGTCTCAATACTTTGTTATATACCCTTTGTTGGCAATTACACAGGTCAAACGTTTTCTGTAAGTCTTCACAAGGTTTTCACACACTGTTGCTGGTATTTTGGTCCATTCCTTCATGCAGATCTCCTCTAGAGCAGTGATGTTTTGGGGCTGTCGCTGGGCAACACAGACTTTCAACTCCCTCCAAAGATTTTCTATGGGGTTGAGATCTGGAGACTGGCTAGGCCACTCCAGGACCTTGAAATGCTTCTTACGAAGCCACTCCTTCGTTGCCCGGGCGGTGTGTTTGGGATCATTGTCATGCTGAAAGACCCAGCCACATTTCATCTTCAATGCCCTTGCTGATGGAAGGAGGTTTTCACTCAAAATCTCACGATACATGGCCCCATTCATTCTTTCCTTTACACGGATCAGTCGTCCTGGTCCCTTTGCAGAAAAACAGCCCCAAAGCATGATGTTTCCACCCCCATGCTTCACAGTAGGTATGGTGTTCTTTGGATGCAACTCAGCATTCTTTGTCCTCCAAACACGACGAGTTGAGTTTTTACCAAAAAGTTATATTTTGGTTTCATCTGACCATATGACATTCTCCCAATCCTCTTCTGGATCATCCAAATGCACTCTAGCAAACTTCAGACGGGCCTGGACATGTACTGGCTTAAGCAGGGGGACACGTCTGGCACTGCAGGATTTGAGTCCCTGGCGGCGTAGTGTGTTACTGATGGTAGGCTTTGTTACTTTGGTCCCAGCTCTCTGCAGGTCATTCACTAGGTCCCCCCGTGTGGTTCTGGGATTTTTGCTCACCGTTCTTGTGATCATTTTGACCCCACAGGGTGAGATCTTGCGTGGAGCCCCAGATCGAGGGAGATTATCAGTGGTCTTGTATGTCTTCCATTTCCTAATAATTGCTCCCACTGTTGATTTCTTCAAACCAAGCTGCTTACCTATTGCAGATTCAGTTTTCCCAGCCTGGTGCAGGTCTACAATTTTGTTTCTGGTGTCCTTTGACAGCTCTTTGGTCTTGGCCATAGTGGAGTTTGGAGTGTGACTGTTTGAGGTTGTGAACAGGTGTCTTTTATATTGATAACAAGTTCAAACAGGTGCCATTAATACAGGTAACGAGTATAGGACAGAGGAGCCTCTTAAAGAAGAAGTTACAGGTCTGTGAGAGCCAGAAATCTTGCTTGTTTGTAGGTGACCAAATACTTATTTTCCACCATAATTTGCAAATAAATTCATTAAAAATCCTACAATGTGATTTACTGGATTTTTTTTCCTCATTTTGTCTGTCATAGTTGACGTGTACCTATGATGAAAATTACAGGCCTCTCTCATCTTTTTAAGTGGGAGAACTTGCACAATTGGTGGCTGACTAAATACTTTTTTCCCCCACTGTACCCATATGTTTGTCTGATATGTGCAGTGTTTGCCTGTTTCTACATTTGATTAGGAAAACTAAGACATGCGCAAAAGGAAAGCATTACCATGTTATACCCTTTAAAAAAAAATTATATATATATTTGTTTTTTTTACAGCCATCTGAAGAGAAGATCAGCAAAGAGGTAGACAACTGCCATAACATGCCCCCTATGAAGGAGCCCTTACAAAGGCCCCAACAACAGAGAAAAAGTAGAAGCCAGCAGAACAAAGTGGTAGCTGAATCCTCTGACACACTGTCACTACCAGGTACCCCTGTTTCGGCTGACCTTCCTAATTCTGGAAAGGTAAACTCTGGTGACATTAATCACAGAAGAACGCGCACAAAGACCCAGGCAAACGTGGAGAAAATGCATGTTAATTCACCTGTTACTGGTCATGCTAAAACTCACTGTGGAAGTGCCAATCCTGAAGGGAATTTATCACTTATTGGGAGTGAGCAAACAATGAACTGTGTCACAAAAGAGCTGGTGGATGTAACAAGGCCAGCAGAGGTAGACGTTGTTAGGAAACGTGGTCGCCCTCGCAAGAAGGCAAAGATGCTGCATACTGTGCTACAAACAGAGCAGAGTTCTTCTCATCTGAGCACTGCAGAATCAAAGGATTGGAGTGAAACAATGACTGACAGAGCGAATGCCATTTATTTTACTACAAACTGTGTAGAAAACAGGAATGACAAGTCTCTCAGAGCTAGGGAAACAAAAGCAGTCCCTCTAAACCGTAAACCAAGCAATACAGTGGTGTCTGTTCTTGACTCGTCGCCCCAAGACCATCAACCAGCCGAATCCAGCCCTGTGGCTATCGCACCCTTGGAACCAAAAAGGAAAAGGGGGACGACCGAAGGGGTCGACCAAGAAACGACCAGGAAAAACCATGAACACTATTTCAGTGCAACAATCCCATGTAACAGAAGACAAAATGGTCATTAAAAAGGAACCTGATGAGATGCTATCTGAAGGAAAAGAGAGGAAACATTGGTCCTCAGCCTGAGGAAGCTCCTGTTGAGCCTAAACACAGAGTAGGACGACCACCAAAGAAAACAACGCTCGTGAGGCAGTTTGCATTAGCACAGAGAAAATCACAGAGAAAATCATGTTCCATTGCAGCATCTGTGAATTCCCAGGATATTTCACCACAACATCAGAAGATTGAGACTGAACGTTCACTAGATTATATAGCAAGGCATGTGTCTGTGTCACTTAGTCGCGTTGATTCTCAGAGAGGTGGGAGGTCAAGTGGGACTGCTGATGTGATCTCTAATGTGAAGTGTGAGGATATTGAAATAGAGCTGGGTGATTTTAATTCCGTGGCACAGTCAAATTGTCTCATGTCTTTTCAATGCCACACTGACACCAGTGTGAAGGTTGAGCCCTGTAGTACTAGTTGTGACGGCACTGAGTTCAAAAAGCCACTCAAAGTTGACAAACGCAGAGAAACTGCTGGCACTGCTCCCAGAAAGCGATGCCGGTTCGTTTTTGGAAAAATGAAGTACAAGAAGGGAAAGAGGAAAAGGTGCATAGATAGAGGTAGACTCCAACGTGAGATCTCACAGGGAGATCCAGACACCATGTCAAAGCAGGCCGATGAAGGCAATGGTGACGTTGGAGAGGGGATGGACTGTGGCGAATCAGCATGGGAGTATGAAGGGTAACACAAATGACAGCTTTTCAAATGGAAGTAAATCAACAGATGAAGGATTTAAAGATTTGCCTGAGAGTCACCTAAATCCAATCATCACTGATGTAAACATATTAGAAACTATGTCGCATGAGTCCTTTTCGAAATCAGATGTCGTACAAGGTGAGGAATTCACAAGTAAGAAAATCAAGAAGGAGAGAGATGGTGTAGGCGATGAAACTGAATATAACTCAACAAGCAGTTGTCTGAAGGCTAGGGGTCGACCAAAAGGGAGACCAAAAGGCACAGGGAAAACCTGTGAGTACTGCGGTCGCCATTTTGATTTTGTGTCTGTATATACCGTCCATCTACGCACTCATACAGGCGAAAGGCCCTATAAGTGCATTGATTGTGACCAAGACTTTTGCCCAGCTATCTAACTTAAAAAGTCATATCAAGAAACATAACAAGCGCTGTGGGCCTCTGAAGTGTCCTTATTGCAAAATCAAGTTCAGTAATTCAAAGGAATTGCTTGCTCATTGCAAGTGGCACTCGCAGAACCCGAACCAGGACTCTGAGTTTGGGAGGAATACGAAGGATAACAGAAATGATGCCACTCATACACCCCCTGTTTCCCTGAAAGAACGGAGGAAAAGGGGGAAAGGGGGGATACTCAAATGCCACATTTGTGGGAAAGTATTTCCCTTTTGGTCTGGTCTACAGGTTCACATACGTATGCACACTGGGGAAAAACCATATATCTGTAAAGTATGTGGGAAAGCCTTTAGTAATCGCTCATCAATTCGTATTCATGAGGTGACACACTGGTCCATTAAGCCTTACAACTGCAATAGGTGTGGGAAGAGTTTCACTCAGTTGTCATCTGCAAAAAAACATCCCTGCAAGGGTCTGCGGGAGAGTAATGACAGAGAATGCCGGAAGAAGCCTTTCATATCTTTTACATGCCACATCTGCGAAGAGAGATTTGTTCAGCGGCGTCAGTACAAAACCCACCTGAAAACCCATGCTGGTGCGAAGCTCTTTCGCTGTTTATTCTGTGACCAGCTGTTTAGTGTGATGTCAGAATTTGAAGAGCACCACCAATATTGCACCAAAGTTAGGGGGGAGAAGATGACATCCAAATCTGAATTTAGGATTTGGAAACCTAGAGCCCCTAATCAGCAGAGATCGCAGCAGCCAAGGGTCAAGATTCATTCACCAGTCAAGAGTCATTCACCAGTCACCCAATCAGTATTTCCTGCAGCTGCTGATAGTCAACCATTTCAGAACCTTGGACAGAGTTCAGCTTCCTCTGCCTCGTTGCTGAACTGTGAACCTACCCCACAGCAAAAACCAAGTGGTCATCAGTCTTCACAAACCCATCCCAAAAAAGCCATTGCTACAACTCTGCGCCCCTTCCAAACATGCATTATACCCACAAATAATCTCACCCCCCTTGTATCAAAGTTGAACAGCCTAGATCGTAAATCTGACCCAAGGAAGTACTTATGCCCACGTTGTGGACGACTCTTCAGACACACAGGGAGACTCCGAGCCCACATGCTAACTCATGCCCACAGTCAGAGCTACACCTGTGACTGCTGTGGAAAGACCCTGGAAAGCTGGAAAAAGCTTTGGCTCCACCAGCGAGTCCACAGACAGAAACTAGGACGGTTCTCATGTCCAAAGTGTCGTCAAGGTTTCCGCTTCGTTGGGCCCTACAAGCAGCACATGCTGCGAGAACACCCTGAGTACCAGTGGATCGATGAGAGACCAAACAAAACTCTCCAAGGACTTGACCAGCAGCAGTGCCTGCCTTATCAATGTGAGGAGTGCAACACCAGCTTCAGGACACTAGATTTGCTTTTCAATCATCAGCTTTGCCATTCCTCACCAGGTGACCACAGTATGTGGATACAGGACGACTGCTATGATTACTCTCCATCGACACATGAACATGATGTACCTTACAACATGAATGGATTTGAACCTCACATGAACAGTGGCGTAACACACACCCATCAGGAACTCCACCATAGCTACTACCCTTCTCCACCTCTTCAAGCAAACCACCCACAAGGTTCACATCTCCTTCATTACTTTTCCAATCATTCAGACCTACCCCATTCACTGTCACCCCTTATACCCGTGCCTCCCCCAATGCAACACCCAGGTTTCCAACCAGGCCTCCAGTCATATGACTCCACCCAGCCACTCACAAGCTCTCTATCACCACTGTACTCACAGGTAGAGACCATTCCAAACCCTGACAGAAAAGAAGGGAATGTAAACAAGAAGCGGAGTAGAATTTATGGGAATGCGACTAAACGTGCTGCTAGATCCAAGGAGGACAAGGCGACAACGGGGGGGTTGGATTGTGCGGAGTGCGGTGTTCAGTTTCCTGCTGTCTCACAACTGTATGAGCATTATTTGCAGCATGCCAGGGGAGAGGTGTAAGAAGCGAAAATGGGGGACCTTGTTTTATCACAAAGGCACGTTATCCCCCCATCTCTTGCTCAGAGGTTTACTTCTATCCGTTTAGAAATGACTCATAGGTCAACCAACAAAAATGGCATTTTTAACACATAAGGAGTTGTTTGGTTGTTGTATTGATGTTTGAGTGTATATTCTGTTGAATGGAGATTTTTACTCTGGGTGCTTGTTGGGCATTAGGGAAGCTGATTACTTTTGGTTGTTATTTGAATTACTTACACTGATCAATTTTAAGTTGACAGTATTTTATTTTTCATTGGTCCCCTAACTTCACCTTTTTGTGGGAAAATGGAAATCTGAAAAGATGGTAAGTGCTTTTATACATTGGAGTAGGTGTAGCAGCAATTTTTCAATGGTAGTTTGAGTGTAAATTACAATGCTTTATCATGGAACATTGTCATACCTCTTAATGTCATTATTAACCACTTACTGTCAGACTGATGCTCAACTGATGAAAAATAATGTTGTAATTTAGCCTACCAATACAAGTGATTAACATCTATTTTTATTCTGTCCATTTATTTAAAATAAAATTCTAAACCTCATGTTTTGCAAGTTACAGTCATTTATTCTGTGGTTAAGTGTTAATTTGTAACTTTTGCAAGATATCTTTTCACTGCAAATACTCTAGTCTTTTTAACTAATAGGCCTACATTCCCTCATGTTTACAGAAAGTTATTTTGTTTAGAAAAGCAATTCTTGTTCTGTTGCTGATGAACTGACAGCTGTTTACATACTGTATATTTGACTTTCTAGCTTCACTCAGACAAAAATAAAAGCCACTTTTCTTATGTTGTGTTTATTTAATTGCAGACATATAGCCTAGCACAAATACATATGTAGGCCTACAGGACACATGTCATGTGGGATTCACATGCTGGTTCGAATTATTTAGTTGTAGAATGCCCCTTTGAAGGCTCTGCTCTCATGGAAGTATTACATGGTTCTGTAGTTTGGTCACTGTGGAGAACAAACAAACTTTTCCCAGATGATGGGCAGTCAATGTAAGGTTAAACATCTTGCAAGAATTTAACTTTGAATTCAGATCGATGTGTTATGGACTACATTTTAATCTTAAGAACATGATCTTGAGACTAATTTCAATTGTGACTAAATGTAATTACTATTCATTGCAATTTCTTGCGCCCTTATATATAGTATAACATTGTAATAAAGCCTTATTATAATGATGAGGCGCCGCTAATATTTTATTACGGTTACAAACGACAGAATGGGGCGTGATCCAAATGGGTGGCAGTAAATCAGTCACGCCACCTTCAAAACATTGGGGTGAAAAACCTTTTCTTCACATTCCCATCATCGGATGCGCACCGGTTGACATCGAAAATGGAGAAGATGCATATCATTTTGTTATAATGCAAATATGTTGTTTCTTCTACTGCAAACAAGAGATGTAGTTTACCGGTATCTTTGAAATATTTAACACCCGTACATTAAACCGCAAGGGACAGAGGATCCATTGAATCTTGAGGAGCAGGCAAGGTAGGCGACAGAATTTGAGGTTAATGACGGTCACAGCCATATTCCATACATGATATCTTGCACCAATTAGTCACCGAGTTATCCTGCATGAATGCGTTCTGTTTTGACCAAAATATGTGATATTTACTGCGTAGGCTATAAACTGAAGAAATAGCTCAAATGTGTTATTCAACCATGTGGGAAAAGTAGTCTGATCTGTGACCAGAGTGTGGTTCTACAGCTGACAGACTGTTTATAGAAAAGACCAAATGTTCAAGACATTTCTTATTGATGTGCCCACTAATCTCAAAGAAACAGTCAGATGGAGACAGTATGTGGTAAAGGAGGGACATTGGATGGTGACACACTGATGGTCAGCATTAAACAAGAGGAAGAAGACCATATGGAGCAGATGTCCAATGGTCCATCGTCATCTGACACGCTCATCAAACAGGAGAAAGAAGAGGGCCTAGAACAAGGCAGTAAAGGTGGGTCCAAATAAGTGTTTACGAATCCTGTAAGCCAACACTTGTACAGAAACAAAATTGTTGTATTGATCATTTTACAACACATGATACAATATATTAGTCTCATATATTCAACCTTGATAGTCAACACATTTTCTTCCCTCGCTCCTGCTATCCCACTATATCACGGTCGCACTTCAACTCCAGCTCCGGACGACCAACTCCCTAAGGATGAACCAGACACCCTGGAAGAAGGAGAGGAGGAGAAGCAGAGGAGGGTTAAAGACAGAGGAGAGGTCCTGGTCTGCTGTTGAGACTGAGGATGTCTCGGGGTCAGACTCGAGTTGGCGCTGCAGGCTGTGTCAGCGCTGCTTCAGTTCCTCCTGGGAGCTGACGGGACACTGCTGTACCGGCATCGCGGGGGAGGACGGGGTCGCCAACGGCCACAAGGTCAAACTGGAGTTCCGGTGCCCAGTGTGTGGCGACCGCTTCCTCCGGCCCACTGCCTTCATCATGCACAAGCGCAGCCACATGGGCCAGTCCCAGTACGTCTGTGGGGTCTGTGGACGGACACTCAAGAGCCTGCGCAAGCTGGCCTCCCACAGGCGCTCACACTCCCGCTGCCGCAGGCCTGTGGCTGAACGACAGCAGTGCCATGACTGCAGCCGGAGCTTCTGCAACCTGACGGCACTCAGAAGCCACCGGGAGAGACAGCATGGAGAGGAGAGGAATTGGGAGGATGAGGCGTACAGGGCGGTGAGAGAGGGAGAGGAGGGAAGCACTGCAGTGATCTCTAATGATTCAACCAGAGTTTCAGGTAAGGCTGGTTCTTTATTAGTACTTTCCTTTGTTTAGGCTATGGATTAACCTCTCATTTGCAAGGTACTTGGAATTCTGTGAACTTGTGTCTTGAATCTGATTATTCTGATCTAGATATGGTAGGTATCTTGTTATTTTCTCTTTCCAATGACTCAGTATTTACCTGTATTTGACAACCCTTCCTCTTTGCAGCAAATCACCACATCACTTGTGTATCCACTGGTTCTCCTGACCCTGTCTAATTTGCTCTCTCTTCCCCCAGCACAGCCTCCCCAGTCTCCTCAGTGCCATCAGTGCTTCATGACCTTTCGGGATGCAGAGACAGAAGAGAGGCATTTACGCTTCAAGCACCCAGTGGAGTATGAGAGACATCTCCGAGGTCGCACAGTGTTTGCCTGCTGTGTCTGCGACCTTACGTTCCCGTCCTCCCGCCTGCTCTCAGCTCACCAACGCACCCACAGCAAGTGGAGTCTGCCCCCCACTGGCCCAGAAGTCTCTTTGCAAGAAAGCACAGGCAGAGGAGAGGCAGAGGGTATATAGAATTTTTGAATATTTTAAAACAGTCTATGTACATATTATTTGTTTCAGTTGTCACATGTTTTATAATATTTTATTTTCGGTGTTTTATCAAATAAAATTAAATGTTTCTATTGTCACACACCGAATAGGTGCAGTGAAATGTGTTGTTTTACAGGGTCAGCCATAGTAGTACGACGCCCCTGGAGCAAATTAGGGTTAACTGTCTTGCTCAAGGACACATCGACAGATCTTTCACCGTGTCGGCTTGGTATTTCAGGTATGGACAATGAAAAAAACAGAGCTGGTCCAACGAGCTGTGAGCACTGTCATATCATCTTCAATGACCCTCGAACCTGGGAACGTCACATGACGGCCAAGCACCCCCCATCTCTGTCGACACCTACTTCACCAGGGAATGCCTACCTGACTTCTAGACCTGCCAGGGGTCAACTACGACCCTATCGCTGCTCCACCTGTGGAGAGAGATTCATACAGGAAAGCACCCTGACCAAACACTGCACCGAGGCACACGCCAGCTGAGAGAGGATGGTTCTGGGAGCATAGATACCAAGATGAAGAGGACAAGAGGCAAGTTGAAGCGATATATAGGATTGTTTTCCAGGAGGACCTTGACTAACTATTTACAAAGTTGTTTAATGAAGAAATGACGTGTCACTTATGAGATGGATCCTATCATTTCATTGTAGGCCTTAGTGTCAACCGTTATGCCAACTCTCTCCAACACCAACAGAATCCTCACAAAATCTATTTTGAATTCATATCTCTTCTAGGGCTGTGACGATACCAGTATCGCAATATTTTTTCCATGGCAAAAATGAAAACACGAAGCAGAGCTGACTCTTTGGTTCTTTTATTTTCCAAGCTATAGCTTTGAAAATAAATACATGTGATTCTGGATGAAAACGTAATGATGTTTGTTTCCAACATTAGGGCTGTTTCCCTAAGTTAAATCCACTTAGTGTTTTGTTTCCTTGCCACGATACTAACTGGTATCGTCCCGGCCCTAACAACATGAAAAGCTCGTGTCAAAATGGAGTTTTCAAAATAAAAGCATGACCATATTTAATAGAGATTCACATAAAAAAATAAAAACATTCACCTGTGCCATGATTAAAGATAGGATGAAAACAGACCAAACCAGCTTTTGATCATTTTGATAGTAATAATGTCTGTGCTACGACATGTACACTACATGACCAAAAGTATGTGGACTCCTGCTCGTTGAACATCTCATTCCAAAATCATGGAGTTGGTCCCCCCTTTGCTGCTACAACAGCCTCCACTCTTCTGGAAAGGCTTTCCATTAGATGTTGGAACATTGCTGCGGGGACTTGCTTCCATTCAGCCACAAGAGCATTAGTGAGATCAGGCTCGCAGTCTGCGTTCCAATTCATCCCATAGGTGTTCGTTGGGGTTGAGGTCAGGGCTCTGTGCAGGCCAGTCATGTTCTTCCACACCGGCATTGTCATGCTGAAACAGGAAAGGGCCTTCCCCAAACTGTTGCCACAAAGTTGGAAGCACATAATCGTCTAGAATGTAATTGTATGCTGTAGCGTTAAGATTTCCTGTCAATGGAAGTAAGGGGCCTAGCCCGAACCATGAAAAACAGCCCCAGACCATTAGTCCTCCTCCACCAAACTTTACAGTTGGCACTATGCATTGGGGCAGGTAGCGTCCTCCTGGCATCCGCCAAACCCAGATTCATCCGTCGAACTGCCAGATGGTGAAGCGTGATTCATCACTCCAGAGAACGTGTTTTCCACTGCTCCAGAGTCCAATGGCAGCGAGCTTTACACCACTCCAGCCGACGCTTGGCATTGCGCATGGTGATCTTAGGCTTGTGTGCGGCTGATCGGCAATGGAAACACATTTCATGAAGCTCCCGACAAACAGTTATTGTGCTGACGTTGCTTCCAGAGGCAGTTTGGAACTAGGTAGTTCAACCTAGGATAGACCATTTTTACGCGCTACGCACTTCAGCGCTCAGCGGTCCCGTTCTGTGAGCTTGTGTGGCCTACCACTTCGCGGCTGAGCTGTTGTTGCTCCTAAACGTTTCCACTTCACAATAACACCACTTACAGTTGACCAGGGAAGCTCTAGCAGGGCAGAAATTTGACGAACTGACTTGTTGGAAAGGTGGCATCCTATGACGGTGCCACGTTGAAAGTCACTGAGCTCTTCAGTAAGGCTGTTCTACTGCCAATATTTGTCTATGGAGATTGCATGGCTGTGTGCTCGATTTTATACACCTGTCAGCAACGGGTGTGGCTGAAATAGCAGAATCCACTAATTTGAAGGGGTGTCCACATACTTTTGTATATATAGTGTATGTTCCTCTAGAACAGGCATTATCCAACCAGTTAGTGAAAAAAATAACCGAAGACGGTGTTTAAAAGTAAAATATATTTTATTTTCTATTGACAGTTGTTGTTATCATGGGTTTCTGTCTTAGAGAAGATGTCTCTTCCAGTCTAGATCAATTAGTTGGAGGACATGGTGCTGCTGATCCAGGATTTGTAGTTGCAGACCTTGGTGTAGACACCAGGCTTGTTCCTCTGGGCACAGCCATAACCCCAGGACACAACACCCTGCAGCTGACCATTGCACACCACAGGGCCACCAGAGTCTCCCTAATAGAGAGAGGGGGAGACAGAAATTAAAGGTGAGCAGATTTGTTTCAGGGTATCAGTCAGTCTAGGTTGAAGGATGGGTTATTGGAAATTATAGAATCATATTTTCATTAATTATGTTAATGGATCAGTGGAAGTGCTTCAACTCAGCTTACCTGGCAAGAGTCCTTGCCTCCCTCCATGAAGCCAGCGCAGAACATGTTTGGAGGTGATCTGTCCAGGATAGGCACTGTTGCAGCTGCTGCTGCTCAGGATGGGGAGATCCAGGCACCTCAGAGTGTCGGGGTAGTTGCCTAGAGACAGGCAGAAGAGGATTAGTTTCTCAAACATTCTCTCTTTGGTTCTGAGTGGTCAGTGATATAATTGATCATCAGTTTGATAAACAATGAATACCAAAAGTATTTGTGGGCATATTGTTGATGCTACTCACTGCTGCTACCGGATAGGTTTCCCCAGCCAGAGACCAGACAGCGGGTGCCAGAGCTGGCACAGCTGGAGGGCAGAGCCACGGTGCTCACATAGCTGTTCAGAGAGACGGGCTTGCTCAGTTTGATCAGCATGATGTCGTTGTCCAGGTTGCGGCTGTTGTAACTGGGGTGCATGATGACCTTCACTGAGTCGATGAACTGCTCAGTGCCCTCGTTGATGGCAATGTTGTGCTCACCCAGACGCACCTGAATGCGGCTGGGGAGAGCGAGAGGGGAGGGTTAATAAGATGTACTTAGACAAATACAGTTTCATGTCAAACGTACTGTAGATGGCTTTGGTAACATTTGAAGAAAGTTTAATCAGTCACTTACGACTTGTAGCAGTGAGCAGCAGACACCACCCATGTGCTGGAGATCAGGGAGCCACCACAGAAGTGGTAGCCAGACTGCAGAGACACCTGGTAGGGTGCAGAGTTTTTTCTGCACTCATACCCTCCAACAATCTTGTCATCCTCATCCTCAATGGGGGCGGCGACTGAGTGGGAGAGTAAAGGAGAAATCTTTGTAAAGAAAAATGTAAAATGTACCAAACTTTTCAAGCAGTGTATACTTATAGCTTAATTCAGATTTATTTTCATGCAGTCTCCAATCTCTAGGCCCACATATTATTTCCTGTTGAATGGCCCGGTACTCACATGCCACAGCGAACAGAGCGAGAAGAATAATGGTCTTCATGGTTGAGTCCGTCTTTGCCTTGGTGCTGAGCTACTGTCAGAGCCCTTTATAAATCCACTTTGTCCTCTGCCATTGGTCAGTTCCAAGGACATACAGGTATACATTTCCATTGGTACCTGTCTCTCAAACAGTAACTTGCGTGTGAACGGACAGATGGCTAACGAGGCTCCTTAACTGATGATGTGTGCTTAACGGCATTAGCTTACATCCCTATGTAAATTCCTATAATGTTAAACTGAATAGACATTTCCCCTTTTTTTGACTCCTCATTGAAGCAATATAGAAATGTGTATTCATACAGTGCTTGGTTTTGTGTCACAAACGTTCTCCGAAATAGATTCACTATGAGGCCTCAAGGGGGAGTTTCATGACCCAGCATTTAAAGGTAAGCCTGGCATTTTGCAACGGTTTCCAGTCTTGGTCAGAAAGGAGTGTGTCTAAGGGTTCTTCAGCTTAATTTATCAATATAGGCTGTTTGTTACTGAGCCTATTTCATTTATATAAAAAGAGCTTTAAAACAAACAGTATAACAACATGAATCATATGATCATGATATCTAATTGTTGTAATCTAATGATATCATGTTTTTCTTCCTTTATTGGTTTATTCACCTCAGAAATACCTATACATCCTGTACAGTATCATAGATGGTGTTACAAATACAGCATAATGTCACTCATCTTTTGCACATTTTCAGAATGTATTTAATTGCATATAAATTCATGAAAGGCATTATTTTTCCATATTCAGGGACAGGAAATTATTTTTTGATTGTGACTAGAATGTAATTCAATGGAATAGAATAATGTAATGCTCTATTATGCATTAGGAATTTTTCTTGGCATCATTACAGGCAAAACATGGCAGATATGACAAATATAAACACATAACATGACATAACAAGGTTTAAAAGTTTGGTACAATGTGAACACAATGAATAGAATAGATGTTTAGTCTGGACAGGAATAGTTGGTACTGTTTGCTCAGTGAGATTATGATGTCATGGGGAATTGTTTCGGCCTTACAGGTGGTGTGTGACATGTAGGTGTGTTTGCCCGTGTTTTTCTGAAGCATGTACCAAGTCGAGCTACTGATCAGCCAATTTCTCGCAAATCCAGTGCCGCCATGAACTACATCTTAGATAATTCCAGTTTCTCTCTTGGTCATTGAAGGTGTTAACCTCAGCACAGTCCTCATTAGAGTTTATAGTGGCACCATTTGGCTCACCAGGAGACCAGAACCCTGTGGTCATTGGTGTCCCGTCCACCCATTTCCAAGTCCCCTTTGTCTCTCTGTCAGTCAGACCAATCCAGAAAAACTTTTTAAATGTACAGATGAATTCCTGTTCCTCTCTGCTGTTTATAATCACCAGGTCTGCTCCTCTCTTTAGACAGTTCTGTCTGCTCTCATCCCAGGATTCAGTCCTATCGGAGATGTAGTACAAACTGGAACCAAACTTCTTCCATACTTCAGGGCAGGTTTGATTCAGCATAGTGTACCTTCTCTTTAGATCTGCCTTTTCTTTATCCAGGTTTTTGTTTTGGATCTGTAGCTCGTCTCTCTGTTCAGTCAGGTTGTTGTTGCTGGTTTTATAAACTAACAACCTCTCCTCCAAACTGACAGTGACTGTATTATAGTACACTGACAAATTTGACCGTAGTCCACTCATCATAATCACCACAGTCTCGTTCCTCCCTTTTAATGCATTTTGTGTTCTCAATGATACACTCTGACATCGTCATGTTATTTTCCTCTGTCATTCCAATTCAACTATAACATAAACTGTACTCTAATGCGCCTCTGTGCTGCTCTGTGACTGTGCAGTGTACTCACTGTGCTGGGGTTAAGACCCTAGGGAACAGGAAGACATTTTTCACACCCGTGAGAAAGGAAACGACAATGGAACCACCCACCATGCAATTGTTAAAAGTGTACAAATATACAACTATGTTTTGTGTGTATGAAAATAAGAATTTGAATAATGCGGATGCTTGTGTCACTTCAGGTGGACATAATGTTTTTTGCAGGTAGGGTAATGTTTGAGCATCAGATATAGGCCCACTGTTCACAGAAGTGCAAATCCTTGTGAAGATCAGATAATGTGACCGGTGGAGTGGGTATATAACAGTTTGTCTTCATGATTGAGTCCTGTGTAGCAGCCAGTGGTGTAAAGTACTTAAGTCGTTTTTTTTGGTATCTGTACTTTACTTTACTATTTATATTTTTTACAACTTTTACTTTTACTTCACTACATTCCTAAAGAAAATAATGTACTTTTTACTCCATACATTTTCCCTGGCTCCCAAAAGTACTTGTTACATTTTGAATGCTTAGCAGGACAGGAAAATTGCCTAATTCACACACTTATCAAGAGAACATCCCTACTGCCTCTGATCTGGCAGATCCACTAAACACATGCTTCGTTTGTAAATTATGTCTGAGTGTTGGAGCGTGCCCCTGGCTATCCGTAAATTTAAAAAACAAGAAAATGGTGGCGTCTGGTTTGCTTAATATAAGGAATTTGAAATGATTTATACTTTTACTTTTGATACTTAAGTATATTTAAAACCAAATACTTTTAGACTTTTACTCAAGTATGATGGGTGACTTTCACTTTTACTTGAGTCATTTTCTATTAAGGTATCTTTACTTTTACTCAAGTATGAAAATTGGGTACTTTTTTCACGACTGGTAGCAGCCAAAAAAACAATCATGAAGTACGTTATTCTCCTGGCTCTGTTTGCCATTGCATGTAAGTCCTTGCTTTACTCAATGAGAGAAATTCTCAGAAACGTTGTTTAAGTTCGCATTGGTGTTCATCCTGTGGTAATACTTGGTGAATAGTGAATATTTACTGAACACAGGCACTGTTCTGTTTGCATGAGTTGTATTTCCATGCAATTTCACACAGATTATTTCTGTATGTATTTCAGTCGCTGCCCCCATTGAGGATGAGTATAACAAGATTGTCGGAGGGTATGAGCGCAGAAAGAACTCTGCACCCTACCAGGTGTCTCTGAACTCTGGGTAACACTTCTGTGGTGGCTCCCTGATCTCCAGCACATGGGTGGTGTCTGCTGCTCACTGCTACAAGTCGTAAGTGACTGATAAAACTTTCTTCAAAAAAATGTACCAAAGCCATCTACAGTACGTTTGACATGAAACTGTATTTGTCTAAGTACATCTTATTAACCCTCCCCTCTCGCTCTCCCCAGCCGCATTCAGGTACGTCTGGGTGACCACACAACATTGCCGTCAACGAGGGCACTGAGCAGTTCATTGACTCAGTGAAGGTCATCATGCACCCCAGTTACAACAGCCACACTTTTGGTATTCGTTGTTTATCAAACTGATGACAAATGATATCAGTGACCACTCAGAACCAAAGGGAGAATGTTTGATATACTAATCATCTTCTGCCTGTCTCTAGCCTTCTACCCCAACCAACTGTTCTGCCTGGATCTCCCCATCCTGAGCAGCAGCAGCTGCAACAGTGCCTATCCTGGACAGATCACCTCCAACATGTTCTGCGCTGGCTTCATGAAGGGAGGCAAGGACTCTTGCCAGGTAACCTGAGTTGAATTAATAGTGCACCTTTCCACTGTTGTCCTTATCATTTGATTTGTTAAAAGCTCTCATCTGTTGTGATTAACCAGCTTCAACCAATATTGAAAGATGCACCTCTAACCACCTTTCTCTTGTCCCTCTTCCTTACTCTCTCTATCTCTTTCTTTCAGGGAGACTCCGGTGGCCCCACGGTGGGCAACGGGCAGCTGCAGGGTGCTGTGTCCTGGGGTTACGGCTGTGCCCAGAGGAACAAGCCTGGTGTCTACGTCAAGGTCTGCAACTACAACTTCTGGATCAGCAGCACAATGTCCTGCAACTAATTTATTTATACTGGAAGAGACATATTCTCTAAGACAGAAACCCATGATAACAACTGTTATGAGAAAATAAAAACATCATATTTTGACATTAACCACTGTCTTTGACTTATTAATTCTTTAAAGTGCATTACTATGAGTGCAATATGTGCTTTTAGGAAGGTATGAAACAGGTATATGGCTAGTGCTTATTATGTCTAACTTCTAAAGCAAAATAGTTGCAGACAACAGCTAAATCTGTTCAATTCCAATTGTACACTGTCTCCTATCTGTTTCCTCTCCATGCTAAAATGCACTGTTAGCAGGTGAGCCATTTCCTGGAAACTTGATGACATGAGAATGCACATCTGTCAGTGGAAATATGATGACACGTGAACTAGCAGTTGCAATAGACATGAGTAGAACATATTTTTGTTTATCTCTTCATAGGTTAATTAATGGACCTTTTACACAAATGTATTCTTTCAGCTGTATAGAAAACATTTTAAATGAAGTAGAATATTCTGACAATATACATACAATCCAATTAACCTAAACGTGGAGCATTCCAATTGTGTATTAAGAATATTCAGTCTCAGCTATTCAGGTACAACAGCTAATGAATAAAGGTTTGTATTCGTTTGTCTGCTGATTGTTAAATTGGTGAACTTCAAATGGCAAATGCCTCACAAATTCCTATTCCCTTTATCTAGCGCTGGGAACATGTGACAGTGAAATGGTGACGTCAATATTCAGCGACGCTCTACGGTTTGTGTACAATTTCAAGCTTGATGGGAGGGTTACGTTTAAGACTACTGCATCAAATTTGTCTTTGTTTTGTCTTGTATTCCTCGTGTGGTAATCGTGAGGTGAGTAAAATAACATGTTATCCCACTAAGTGTATTGACATTTTCGCGATTAAAGCTAGCTAACTTGAAGCGTAGTGCCCTGCATTGCTAGATCAGCGTCACCCGTAATATATGCGGAATGCGCAACCATTGCGGATGTGGTGCAGAAAAAATGCGCATCGCTGCGACAAACGCAATTATACAATTATAAAGGTGCTAGACGTCATCATCAAGTTGAAACCTATGTTGTAAATTATTTGATATTTGTAATTTGTGTAACTATTTGGTAACATGTATTATATTTCTCTCTTTTGTAGATTTCCCTCGATCCTCTAGTTACTCAAGTTTATCTACACTTCTGCGTATCTCTGTTGATGGGTACTGTCATATAGTTGTTTTTGCACTAATATAAAGGAATTGAAAGGCTCGTTTTCAGAGAGAGGGCATGTCTCTCTTGGCCAGCTTTTACAGTTGATGAACGTCTGCCCCAGGACTTTAGCTGTAGGCTACCTGGTATGAATGAAGAATATCTTATGCAAACGAATGCACATTACAGTGAATGTTGATCCCAGTATGTCCCTGCACAAGATGCTCTCCTAGCGCCCCTTATTTGTTTATGTGCCACTTAGTTGTAGCCTGTGAACATATGCCTTATGCTGCCCCTACGGAAAGATTACTTAGTTGTCAGGCAGATATTGCTCAAGTCCCCAACAATGGTGTGGTACGGCCAACCATCTGTCGCTGTGTGAATGGAACTGTCAGTTGGTCTGTCTGTAAACCAGGCCTGACTCATGACTGAGTACTACGAGGAGGGGGGGCTGCTGTATGAGCACTCACCTCCCATGCACATCAAAGTGGAGTCTCCGGAGGGCCCCTTCGGAGGGGGCGTCTCAGAGGACGGCTTTCCCAGGGAAGATGAGGACTCAGAGGGCAGCTGTGACCACAGCAGTGGGCTGCCTGGAGGACTCCCCTTCAACGTGGTGGTGGTGCATCCTAACATCATGACCCCTGGCATGTCCTCAGATGACCTCCTGTCCATGGAACAGCGTAAGCTTTAACCAACTTTTAGCTATTAAACGCATGTCTATTGTTCAATATTGATGCTTGCAGTGGTGCTCTGTACTGTTATGGTAAATAGTATAATGTTTTGACTATTACATTTTTATGTTTCACCTCATATGACATAGTAAACATTATCCCTGTCTTTCTGTAGACAGAGGTATGTCCTCTGCGTTGGCAGCGGGGGGTGCAGGCAAGAGGAAGAGTCGTTTTAGCGGTGCAGAGCTGGAGGTGCTGGTTTCTGAAGTGACGCAGTGTGAGGGAGAGCTTTTTGGTCCCGCTGGGAGGCTCCGGCGCAGGGAGAGAGAGAGGATCTGGGCAGGGATCCTGGAGCGGGTCAACGGCGTGTCCAGAGTCCCTCGCACCCTCCGCGAGGTCAAGAAGCGCTGGGACGACCTGAAGAGACGCAATGGAGGCAGGCTGGCAGACGCCAGGCACCGCACTTGTTACCTGCCATCCAGCAGAGGGGCTTCCATGCTGGGACGGTCAGCTCAGGCAAGCCCCAGGCTTCACCAGGCCAGACAGAAGCAAAGCACCAGAGGGAAGGCCAGTTTCACGTGCTTCACTGATACAGAACCAGGTAAATCTGAACACTAACAATGAGGTAAAGCCTTAGATTCAAGCCTTGTAGGAACATTCAAGATAATGCATATAAAAACTGAATTTTTTAACCACTGTTTTCTATTCTATCCTCTTGTTTACTGCAGTGGGTGGAGGTGAAGGGTCGGAGAGGGACGGCTTTGAGAAGGAGGAGGATAGTGGCGAGCGGGAAAGGGAGGTGGGAGAGGCGGAATGCGAGGGGGCAGAGAGCAGCATGGAGGAAAAGCTGGGTTTAGGACTAGGACTGGGAATAGGACCTCCCCCTAACTCGGAACGCTGGCTGCCTCCCTCTCCCCTCTACAGCGCCCCTTTCCTCAATGGCACCCCTCAGCCTAGTCCCCAGCCCTCACTAGGGGCCCAGCAGGGACCGCTGGAGGCCCCTCCTCGTGGCTCATGGCTGGAGGACGAGCTCCGTGGCGTGGGGGAGGCAGCTCTGCAGCTGGGGGATCGGGTGGAGCAGAGTCTTCGGGAGTTTGGGGAGGGATTCAGACGAGATATGAGAACACTAGTGGCCTCTCAAGAGGCACTGGCAACCAGCTTACAGCAAAACAATGTTCTCCTGCAAAGGCTGCTGGCAGTCCTAGAGGCGCAACAACAACAACAACAACCACCACCACCACAGCAGCAGCCACATCATTCCCAAAAGCAACAGCCACAACAGTCAACGCAGCAACCACAACAGTTACAGCAGCAGCAACCACAGCCTCAACAACCAATTCAGCAGCAGCAGCAACAAATACAGATACAACCACAACAGCAACAACTGTTCCTGCAGCAACCCCAACTGGCACAGCAGCAACAACCGATACAACCGCTACCACAGCAACCGCAGCAGCTACACCCCCAGAGTCCAAGTAATCAACCAACTTTAGCAGTTGCCCCTGTACCACCACCCCCAGATATTCTTGATGGTACCACCCGTCCTGAACCACCCACAGTCATGAATGGAACCGTCCAACGGCCAAGGCGGGGGAGAATTGTTGATCATAGACGAAGAAGAAGGCGTTAGATAAAGATGTAAATAAGCGTTGATGTACTTGATTTATTTTCTCTTATACAATCTGATTTGAATTAATTGTGTCCCTCCAATTTCAACCAAAGTTGAAAAAGTTAACTTTATTTTAGTACATTTGTTATATAGAGTGTGCTCTGACCATAAATGAACTTATTTATATACACTACCAGTCAAACCTTTGGACACACTTACTCATTCAAGGGTTTTTCTTTATTTTGACTATTTTCTACATTGTAGAATAATAGTGAAGACATCAAAACTATGAAATAACACATATGGAATCATGTAGTAATCAAAAATGTGTTAAACAAATCAATATATATTTTATATTTGAGATTCTTCAAATAGCCACCCTTAGCTTTGATGACAGCTTTGCACATTCTTGGCATTTTCTCAACCAGCTTCACCTGGAATGCTGTTCCAACAGTCTTGAAGGAGTTCCCATATATGCTGAGCGCTTGTTGGCTGCTTTTCCTTCACTCTGCCATCCGACTCATCCCAAACCATCTCAATTGGGTTGAGGTCGGGGGATTGTGTAGGCCAGGTCATCTGATGCAGCACTCCATCACTCTTGTTCTTGGTAAAGTAGTCCTTACACAGCCTGGAGGTGTGTTGGGTCATTGTCCTGTTGAAAAACAAACGATAGTCCCACTAAGCCCAAACCAGATGGGATGGTGTATCGCTGCATAATGCTGTGGTAGCCATGCTGGTTAAGTGTGCCTTGAATTCTAAATAAATCAGAGACAGTGTCAACAGCAAAGCACCCCCACACCATAACACCTCCTCCATGCTTTATGGTGGGAACTACACATGCAGAGATCATCCGTTCACCCACACCACATCTCACAAAGACGGCGGTTGGAACCAAAAATCCCCAATTTGGACTCAGACCAAAGGACAAATTTCCACCGGTCTAATGTCCATTGCTTGTGTTTCTTGGCCCAAGCAGGTCTCCTTTTCTTATTGGTATCCTTTAGTAGAAATGTTCCGTATTCACTGACCTTCATGTCTTAAAGTAATAATGGACTGTCGTTTCTCTTTGCTTATTTGAGCTGTTCTTGCCATAATATGGACTTGGTCTTTTACCAAATAGGGCTATCTTCTGTATACCCCCATACCTTGTCACAACACAACTGATTGGCTCAAACGCATTAAGAAGGAAAGAAATACCACAAATTAACTTTTAAGAAGGCACACCTGTTAATTGAAATGCATTCCAGGTGACTACCTCATGAAGCTGGTTGAGAGAATGCCAAGAGTGTGCAAAGCTGTCATCAAGGCAAAGGGTGATTATATTTGAAGAATCTCAAATATAAAATATATTTTGATTTGTTTAACACTTTTTTTGTTACTACATGATTCCATGTGTTATTTCATAGTTTTGATGCCTTCACTATTATTCTACAATTTTAAAAATAAAGAAAAAGCCTTGAATGAGTAGGTGTGTCCAAACTTTTGACTGGTAGTATGTATGTGTATATACAGTGGGGGAAAAAAGTATTTAGTCAGCCACCAATTGTGCAAGTTCTCCCACTTAAAAAGATGAGAGAGGCCTGTAATTTTCATCATAGGTACACGTCAACTATGACAGACAAATTGAGAAAAAAAATCCAGAAAATCACATTGTAGGATTTTTAATGAATTTATTTGCAAATTATGGTGGAAAATAAGTATTTGGTCACCTACAAACAAGCAAGATTTCTGGCTCTCACAGACCTGTAACTTCTTCTTTAAGAGGCTCCTCTGTCCTCCACTCGTTACCTGTATTAATGGCACCTGTTTGAACTTGTTATCAGTATAAAATACACCTGTCCACAACCTCAAACAGTCACACTCCAAACTCCACTATGGCCAAGACCAAAGAGCTGTCAAAGGACACCAGAAACAGGCTGGGAAGACTGAATCTGCAATAGGTAAGCAGCTTGGTTTGAAGAAATCAACTGTGGGAGCAATTATTAGGAAATGGAAGACATACAAGACCACTGATAATCTCCCTTGATCTGGGGCTCCACGCAAGATCTCACCCCGTGGGGTCAAAATGATCACAAGAACGGTGAGCAAAAATCCCAGAACCACACGGGGGGACCTAGTGAATGACCTGCAGAGAGCTGGGACCAAAGTAACAAAGCCTACCATCAGTAACACACTACGCCGCCAGGGACTCAAATCCTGCAGTGCCAGACGTGTCCCCCTGCTTAAGCCAGTACATGTCCAGGCCTGTCTGAAGTTTGCTAGAGTGCATTTGGATGATCCAGAAGAGGATTGGGAGAATGTCATATGGTCAGATGAAACCAAAATATAACTTTTTGGTAAAAATTCAACTCGTCGTGTTTGGAGGACAAAGAATGCTGAGTTGCATCCAAAGAACACCATACCTACTGTGAAGCATGGGGGTGGAAACATCATGCTTTGGGGCTGTTTTTCTGCAAAGGGACCAGGACGACTGATCCGTGTAAAGGAAAGAATGAATGGGGCCATGTATCGTGAGATTTTGAGTGAAAACCTCCTTCCATCAGCAAGGGCATTGAAGATGAAACGTGGCTGGGTCTTTCAGCATGACAATGATCCCAAACACACCGCCCGGGCAACGAAGGAGTGGCTTCGTAAGAAGCATTTCAAGGTCCTGGAGTGGCCTAGCCAGTCTCCAGATCTCAACCCCATAGAAAATCTTTGGAGGGAGTTGAAAGTCCGTGTTGCCCAGCGACAGCCCCAAAACATCACTGCTCTAGAGGAGATCTGCATGGAGGAATGGGCCAAAATACCAGCAACAGTGTGTGAAAACCTTGTGAAGACTTACAGAAAACGTTTGACCTGTGTCATTGCCAACAAAGGGTATATAACAAAGTATTGAGAAACTTTTGTTATTGACCAAATACTTATTTTCCACCATAATTTGCAAATAAATTCATTAAAAATCCTACAATGTGATTTTCTGGAAGAAAAAACTCTCATTTTGTCTGTCATAGTTGACGTGTACCTATGATGAAAATTACAGGCCTCTCTCATCTTTTTAAGTGGGAGAACTTGCACAATTGGTGGCTGACTAAATACTTTTTTCCCCACTGTGTGTATATATATATATATATATATATATGTTACTTAAACGAAACACAGTAGGCTAATTGAAGGTTCAGCCCTCATCCACATATATTAGCGTAATGCATTGTTTGGAAGTTGCTGCAATAGAACCAAGAAATGTCTGCGATTTCTGTATTGTCCAAATCTTGTAGATAGACAATCAGCATTACATTGACAGAAAGCACTTTGGAGTCTGCAGCAATCTATCATTAGAGCATATTAGTATAATAGTAAATTACCATTGAAATGTAATATACCAATGCATATGTACATTCTCTGATTGCTCTTCCAGTTTTATGATACATATTAAACATGCATTGTGTGACAGGCTGGACATACACATGCAAATCTTAGAAAAAAGCATTATACAATGTGTATTTACCATGTGATGATAAATCATTATAATAGGGCTATAATGTTTTAAGATATGGAAATGTTTCCCTACATAGCACTTAAATGAAAATATGCATCAGTATGTATTTTGCTTCAGATTTTCATGATCTGTTTCTCGTGATGTTATCAATTTATTAAGCATTATCTACAAGTATGATGTATGTGTTATTATCTTGCATGCAGTGTCTGTTGTGTAGACAATAAAATGCAAGGGATCTGTAAACAAATTAAGCATTTGTGTACCATTTTGAACAATTTATATACGTAATTATAAACTGGGTGGTTTGAGCCCTGAATGCCAATTGGTTGACAGCCGTGGTATATCAGACCGTATACCACGGGTATGACAAAACATGTATTTTTACTGCTCTAATTACGTTGGTAACCAGTTTATAATAGCAATAAGGCACCTCGGGAGTTTGTGGTATATGACCAATATACCACGGCTAAGGGCTGTGTCCAGGCACTCCGCATTGCGTTGTGCTTAAGAACAGCCCTTAGCCATGGTATATTGGCCATATACCACACCCCCTCGGGCCTTATTGCTTAAATATAGTTGAAGGGTCTGACTGTTCTGAGACATGTATTGACTAAAGATTAATAAAGGCAACCCTGAACTATATCTCATCACAGCTCTTCAATAGCTCTTTATTCAGACAAGTGCTGATGGTGCAATCTGTTGACTGATGTGAGTGAATGCCCATGGATAAATGCTTTTGTTTCAATACTCATGACAATCTGAAGTGGACAAACATAACATCACCGAAAGAATGCAGGGCAGGCGAAGACCTTTCACTTCACACCATCACACTCTAGCGGCCAGTAACGTCATATACAATTTGATTCGCCTTCTGCTTTCACGTTGAGGAAGAGGGGTCATTGAGAACCATCTTTGGATGAGTGCTGCATGGGTAAAACATGGCTGCTGTGCATTCATCAGAGAGACGCCAGGGCGACCCTAACGATGAGCTGGGGGACCCGGGGGGTGTACCACAAAAATGTGAGTCATCTGAGTATAAATCGACAGACCCCGATAACACTTTTGCTGATGAAGAAGACAGAATTCCTGAGGATTCCAATGAAAATAGAGAATCTAGTATTGTTACCGATGGGCTTGCTAGCCAGACTGAAGCTAGCATTGCGCTTCGAGCTAATGATAAATCAAATATAGGTAATGATGTGGTCGATTTAACATCTTCTGAAGAAAAGGCCCACAACACCGATGTTTCCTACCAACAAGCAGCGGCATTTCGATTGGTCTGAGACGGAGGACGAGGAAGACGGCACGGATGCAAAAGAGAATGGAAACGACGGTAAGTTTATGTTCGCTAACTAGCGTTGACTGTTTCTTTCTTCGAATAGCCTTATCAATATTAACTATGTAAGCTCACCGTCTATCTAGTTTGGAAAACAGTCGTGTGCAAAAACAGACTGAAATGTACAAATGTACGGGGTATCCCTGGAAACATGCAGGATGCAGCATTGACTGTAAATGTGCTCATGCTCACTTTAATTGCCAAGATGCTAGCTAGTTGTCTCATGGGCTGAATGAGCTAGCTAGCTTTGTTATTGGCCAACTGTTTATCCAATAGGATATTGATCATATAGGATATTGATCATACTAACCGTTCCCTTTGATGTCATAAAGGCCTTTATTCATAATATTTTTGTGGAGATTGATTTTTTTTATAGTAGGCCTGTTTTCATATTAAGTCTAACGTTTGTATTCATGCTTACTCATGAACTCATGACAATGTGTTGTATTTATTTTGTATTTACAGTGCATAATGATGATATGGGGATAACTCCTGAGGTGCAGCAGGATAAGATTACTGACGATATCTCAGATGCAGAGGATGTGGAAAAAGAAAAATCACATTCTGACGAGGATATGGATGTATCAAAAGACACGGGTGAAGAAGATGGTAAAGGAGGAGAGGAGGAGGAGGAAGAAGAAGAAGAAGAAGATGAAGAAGTAGGAGGAGGAGGAGAAGAGGAGCGAACAGTGAAACTGAGGAGATGTAGTCTGGAGTGCAAAGATTGTGGGAAGAGGTTCACCTTTCGGGAGACATTCAACCTGCATCGTCACTTCCATGCTCACCAGGATGAACTGGCCTCACTCACCTGTAAGGAGTGCGGCCTTACCTTCCAGCACCGCAGCAGCCTCATCAAGCACCGCAGTGAACACCAACAGAAGGTTGAACAGCCTGTGGAGCGGAAGAGGAGAAGGAGCCCACAGGGAGTCCACAAGGAGGAGAGGCCAGATCTCCAGTGTGACCACTGTGAAGAGACTTTCCCATCATTGAGCAAGCTGAGGCTCCACACCTGCAACTGTGCCCCAGAAAAGGCTTACCGCTGCCCCCTGTGCCGCAAAGAGTTCCGCATGAAGGTCTCCATCACCAGCCACATGCAGACCCACTCCCTGAGCTCCCGCCCTTTCCGCTGCCAGGAGTGCCACAGGAGCTTCTCTGACTGCTTTACCCTGCGTGACCACCAGGGCTCCCATGCCTCCCTCAAGCCCTACGCGTGCCCTGAGTGTGGCATGGTGTTCAGGCACCGCTCTGTCATGGAGGACCACCGTCGTAAGCACACAGAGGACACACAAGGCCCCCACCAGTGCAACATCTGTGGGAAGCACTTCAAGTATTCCAGCCTCCTGCAACAGCACCAATACCTTCACACAGGCCAGAAACCCTTCCGCTGCCCAGACTGTGGCAAAACGTTTGCCTTAGCCCAGAACATGAAGGCACACTGCCGCCAGCATAGACGGCACCCTCACGCCTGCCCTATTTGCCCCCTCACTTTCCCCGACCAGGGCAGTCTGCAGGCTCACGTGTCAAGCCACGAGACTGTCGCGGGACTAGATAAGGAGAACACAAACCACGGGGTGGAGCCAAAAACGTATATTCAACTGTCCCCTATGTCCTCAGAACTTTCCTTCACCAGCTGACCTGAGGGCTCACATGCTGATCCATGAAGCAGAGCATGAGAGGATGGAGAACGGGGCGTGTAAAGACTGGGAAACAAACAGTTACACCTGTCCCCACTGTCCTGCCACCTACTCTGACCAGTCTAATATGATGGCTCACCTGACAACTCACGCATCTGCCCGGGTCAGTGTAGAGAGGCAGGGTAATGGACTTGAAGTAGGGAGATCTGCTCCACTTAACACTGCCAACATCCCAGGGAGATGGCATAGGGAGGAGATGAGTAGTAAGCCTTTAAAGTGTCCAGACTGTGGCAAGTCTTTTCGTCACCGCTCAGTGTTAACGCTGCACATGCGTATTCATTCCAAGGACAAGCCTTACCAGTGCAAGGTGTGCAATAAGTCCTTCAGATTCAACAGCTACCTGCAGCAGCACATGATCATTCACACCGGGGAGAAGCCATACAAGTGCCCAGACTGCAGCAAGGACTTTGCTTTCCTGCAGAACATGAGAACCCATCAGAGGCTGCACACACAGAAACCGTTCCGCTGCACAAAGTGCCGTAAGGGCTACAGCGACGAGAATCAGCTTCAGCGCCATTTGCTGTCACACAACGGCGAAAAGCCCCACAAGTGCCACCTCTGCGAAAAGAGCTTTGGGCTGGCCTACCTGCTGCGGGACCATCTGAACACCCACACAGGCGAGAGGCCCCATCGCTGTCAGGAGTGCCACAAGACATTCCCCTGGCTCGGCAGCCTGCTGGTGCATCAGAAAATCCACGCTCGAAAGCGCCAGGGGTCGAGTCAGCCTTACTCTTTTCCAATGGCCATGAGGATAAGAGGCAGGGGTAGCAGGGACCGGAGCGGAGGCAGGCTGGCATCAGGCTGGCCCAGGTGGGGTGGAATGGGGCAATCAGGTATGGACACCCCCCAACTAACACCTCCATATCAAGTCCCAATGTCAAGGAGTCCTGAGTGGCAGAGGAGGCCGGCCCAGCCACAGCCTCCCATGTTTTCATCCCAGATGGATATGCAGCAGCCAGGGGAGAGGTCTGCGAGAAGGCCTCCACCAGTCCACCAACAGTGGCGGGTGGAAGGTGGAGAACTGAGACCTGTCCCACTGCCTAACCAGTCTCAACCGTCTCAGGATCCTGAAAGACAACCAGCACCTGTCCAACAGCAGCCATCTCCACCAAGACAGCCACAGCAGGTACCACAGTCTCCACTGATACAACAACAAGTACAATTACAGCTACAGCTACAGCCACATCTACAGCCACAGCTGCTCCAACAGCAGGTTCAACATCATCTACAGTCTCCGCTGATCCAACAGCAATTACAGTGGCAGCAACAAGGTGGACAGCTCCAACCCCAGCCAGTACCACAGCAGCAGTGGCCGCCTGACAGACAGTTGGTCCAGCTCCAGCAAAAGCTGCCCTGGTTACCAGATGCTCTGCCCCGGCCCGCCCCACCACAGCATCCCCAGCAGTGGCAGTCAGAGGGCCTGCCTCGGCCACCCCCACAACAACAGCCTGGCCTTAGTGCATCTCAGAGCCTAGAACCCCCTCCTCCAGGAGAAAGTGGAGGGACCATGCCCTTGGATAACAAAACACCCCCAGTGGCCAGGCCACAGAACCCCAGCCCATTAGCTGTGAGTGAGAAGGAGCAACACAGGCAACAGTCGAAGCCCATGAGCTGGGGTAACACACCCACTACACCACCAGCCCCCACACCGAGCTCTGTTCAGCTTGACTTCCCTGGGTCCCCCATTTACATGGATGGGGCTGCTTTGTGGGGTGGGCTGAGGACCTCTCCAGCAGTGCCAACATCCCAGAGCTCATCAAACAAGCTGGGCCAAGACCTTAAGCTGCCAAGATGGTCGAGCGTCTCAGTGCCAATGCAGAAAGCTGTTAATGAATCATCCACACCTCCTAGAAAAGAGGACACTAGAGTTTGGGACTTTAATGCACCTCTGGTAATGTCCCCAACTGTTAGTTCATCAGAGAAAGCTGGGCGTGAGCAGCAGAAACAGTGGTCTCCAGCTCTACTCAGTACATCCTCCTCAGCTCAGATGGGCCACAGCTCTGTCATGTCAATTTCAAGCCCTCCATCTCATGGGTTGGGAGGTAGTCCTTGGGATTTCAAAGCATCCCCCTCACACAAATCAGGCCTTAGCCAGGAGTTAGAGCAGCAGCAGCAAAAACATCTATCCTCCAGCTGGACCAATGTACCCACATCCACCCAGAATGTTCCCATCTCCATTCAATATGACCCGCAACGTTTCACTCACGGGGTGGGACCCACTGTGTGGGGTTTCCAAACCACTCCAGCTGGCCCTCAGCAGCAGCCAATGGTAACAGGCACTCAAATCATCATAAATCAGACCTCTCCTTTCTTCTCTCCTCTCCCTCCGCTCCCTCCTCTTAGTTTGCCTGGCCCACACCCTCTTCATTCTGTAGCGGTCGGCTCTCTACCAAGGCCTCCACACCCAAACATTTTCTTCACACCACAGGCGGTCATGAGTGAGAGGCCACACATGCCACAGACCCTGTCACTACCTCAGCTAGCCCCACGGCCTGTTCCTCACAAACTGGGCCGTTTGCCTTATGCCCCAGACCGCCTTCTCCAGTGCATGATCTGTGGGTGCTCTCTACCCCGGGAGTTGGACTTGCAAATGCACTACATGCAGCATGCACAAGGAGAGATTTGACACTGGCAAAGAGAGTGTGTACCACTCTGTTTTTCCAAATGTTTTTAATGTACATGTATTGTATAACTATAGCAATTTAGCTGTGTTTTGTGTCTGTTTTTGACATTGGCTATGTTGTTGATCTCTCACTCTATAAGAAAGGGTCAGATACTCTCAAAAAGTGTGTGTTTTGTTAACTTGATCAAGCACGGTTGTCAGTTTTCTGTGTTCACAGCTTTGCCTTGAACTGCAAAGAACTTAGAAATATGACTGTGTAATGGATTTCTTGGCCAGGACCATTATATTTACTGTGTTTTAAACATACCATGGACAGTTTATTAGGTACACCACCCCGTTCACGAAAATGGTTAGCTCCTACAGACAGTGAGTCACGTGGCCGTGGCTTGCTATATAAAGTAGGCATACAGGCATTCAGTTACTGTTCGATTTACGTTAGAATTGGCAAAACAAGTGACCTAAGTGACTTTGAGCGTGGTATGATCGTCGGTGCCAGGCGTGCCGTTCCAGCCTCTCAGAAACTGCCGGCCTCCTGGGTTTTTCACGCACGACAGTGTCTAGGGTTTACAGAGAATGGTGCGACAAACAAAAAACATCCAGTCAGCGATAGTCCTGTGGGCGAAACAGCTTGTTGATGAGAGATCGAAGGAGAATGGCAAGAATTGTGCAAGCTAACAGGCGGGCCACAAACAGGCAAATAACGGCGCAGTACAACAGTGGTGTGCAGAACAGTATCTTGGAAAGCACAACACGTCGGTCCTTGTCACGGATGGGCTATTGCAGCAGACAACCACACCGGGTTCCACTCCGATCAGCTAAAAACAAGAAGAAGCAGTTCCATTGGGCACGCGATCACCAACACTGGACAATTGAGGAGTGGAAAAACATTGTCTGGTCCAATGAATCCCGGTTCCTGCTGCGTCATGCTGATGGCAGGGATTGGCGTAAGGCGGTATAGGCTGCAGGCGGTGGTGTAATGGTGTGGGGAATGTTTTCCTGGCACATGTTAGGTCCCTTTTTATTTATTTTTATTTTTCACCTTTATTTAACCAGGTAAGCCAGTTGAGAACAAGTTCCCTTGATAACAATTTAGCAATGTTTCCATGCCCCAAAGAATTCAGGCTGTTCTGGAGACAAAGGGGGTCCAACCCGTTACTAGATGGGTGTACCTTAATAAACTGGCCACTGAGTGTATATGTCAACATATGGCTCTTTGTTAGGTTTTTTTTCTCTGAACACTCCTGTCTTTGTTACACCATTTTCAAGTTCAAGTTTATTCCTCAAACAAGTGAATTTCACCTGTGTTGCACTGTATATTTGTGCCTTTGTTTCAAAACACTCTGCATGTTCTTTCTCTCTCTCAATGTTGTTGTGGGTGTTATTCAAATTGTCAGGTCTCTGAATAATGAGTAATTTGGATGAGTAATTTCTTATTCTGTCTACTTTTGGGTGAAAATGTATCTTGTTTTGGTGCTAAATTCATGAAATTAGAGTTATTGGGAGGAGCTCACATTTTATCCAAACAGTGTGGCATGGGTTAGTATACAAATTAATGTATTGCATTAAAATGAATAACTAATAACTTTACCTGTTGGGTTTGTGATATTGTATCAGCAACATCAGGACAATGTTGCCAGAAGATATGCTTGTTTCCACTGAGCTGCACTGGGGTCGGAACGCAATCATGGTTACATTAAGACACCGTGGAGCCGATGCTTGATATGGGTCGGAAAACATACCTCAATGCAGGGATGGGATATGCCACTGTACTCCAAATGTTACCTTTATCCACATTGTACATATCTCCCACCGGCTCCACAGTGTCTTAATGTAACCATGATTGTGTTCAGATCCCAGTGCAGTGTAAACAAACGTTATGGTAGGGTCGGTATCTTATGGCAAAACATAATGTAACATATTTGACGTTTTACTACATCTGTCCAGTAGCTGTAGTTTTAAATATGTAAATACCTGGTAATAAAAATCCTTGGGGAAAATGTAATATTGTCTACTATGTTGTATTCAATAAAACACAATGACATAATAGTCCTGCAATAATGAAAACAGTCTACCAAATTGATTGTTTTCAACACAAAAAGCTTTGCATAATGTCCATTACATTGCATCTAGAGAACTAATTGTTGGGTCTAATGGTGCTTTCAATAGGAGGTAAAATCATGGAGATCTTCAGGTCGGAGCTCTAGAAAGATGCCCGAGTTCCCGACTTGTAATTCCGAGTTGGATGACCGTTCAAAACGATTTTTCACAGTCGTAACTCGTTTTTTTTGCGAGTTCCCATTTGTGTTATGGAACACTCGGAAGTCGGATATATCCCACTTCCGAGTTCCCAGTTGTTTTGAACGCGGCATGATTCGCTGACGTTCTCGCGCCATCTCTGTAGCAAGGAAGTTGTCGTTTGTCGTAATTTCCTACGACGGAACCACTGCAACAACAGTGTGCGGAGGAGAAGAGCAAGAGGCGCTCCGAACAGCATTCTAGGCATCCTATGTCATTGTTTACCCCGCGAAAGGAGTTTTATTTTTGCATGCATTAGATGAGGCCCCCCCTCTGAGAAAACTCAGGGGAATTTAAGTAATAGAAGCGGTAAACACAAAGAACTTAGATCCAAGTTGCAGTGGCCTAGTAACAGCAAACCAAGCACCACGCTGAGTGTTAGCTATGGAGGATGCCTCCGCTGTAACGATCAAATACGAGGGAGGAGATGAAGAGGAGTCGGAAGATGTCAGTGAACATTCAACCAAGAAGACCGAAAACAGCGCCAACAAGTCTGCCAAAGATGACAGTACCGATAGTAAGTGACCCCATCCTTCCACAATCATCTAAACACAGCTAGCTAATTAGCTAACGTTAACTAATGCTACAACATGCTCATATCCATGTTTGCTAGTTAGCTAATTAGCGTTAAACTATTCTAACATGATCATATCCTAGTTAAATGACTAACTAGCTAAGGTTTCCGTTATCGTTAGGTAGCCATTGACCAGAAATCAATGTGTCCCATTTTATCTTGTGCACATTTTTAGCTAACTAGTGGTGACTAGCAAGCTGTGCGTGGTATAGTCGCTAACGTTGCTAGTTAGCAAGGGGTAAATAGTCGTTCATCCGAATGACATCAGTACCGTTTTAGTTAAACTCTTCAATGTTACGTGAAATCCAGTAGGCTGTCATATATTGTGATAAATAATAGGGGTATTTATTACGCCTATTCTGTTGCAATACATTCCTGAAACGGAAGTGAACGAAACGGGGAGCGACCTACCTCAATTTGTCCAGTAGAAACTCTTGTTTTATTTGCTAAATGAAACGATTTGCAACTGTTTGGCTAATGATTACGACCCTGGACTAGCGTGATCACCTCCCCAATGTTTTGGAACTTGTAAACGTGACGTACTTCCCCGTAGGCCAGAGCCGTCTAATTGTCCCCCACGATTAAATCGGAGCAAGTGTGGGTAGCTGCAGACCAATATGGCGACCGGAGTGTGGGTGTGTCGAAAGGAGTGGGTGTATGGAAAGTATGTCAGCTAATTGGGCAGATACTGTATGTTGCAACTCAATACCGTTTTGCGTTGCTAATTGGGCTGCATGACGAGTCGATAAGCCGGCGACCAGTGCACCAGTGTTGTATGGACATATAATAATAATAATAATAATAATAATAATAATAATAATAATAATAATATGCCATTTAGCAGACGCTTTTTTCCAAAGCGACTTACAGTTATGCGTGCATACCTTTTTTTTTGTGTATGGGTGGTCCCGGGGATCGAACCCACTACCTTGGCGTTACAAGCGCCGTGCTCTACCAGCTGAGCTACAGAGGACCACATGCCTGTCGATCTGAGACCTGACCGTGATACACAGGAAGCGTCCTACTGGGTATCACGGTCCTGTCGCAGGCGGTAGCTAACCCCCCCATATTGATAACCATCTGGATGTAACCTTGATGCATGCACATACAGTATACTCAATGGGGAGGGCATGAATGGCAACAACACCAGGACACAGTGCCCTTCGCTCCCGTTTGATAAGCACTATAAGAACTGAAACTGTACAATTATTTGTGTAAAACAGTGAAATGAGACTCATACTAATCCTCTGTCTTCAAAACAGAAGTACTCTCGCGGTATGGTAGCTCAATCAATTTACAGTAGTTGCGTGGTAAGAAACGGAAGGGGAAAAAACACCGCTCAATCAAAACCGTCTAGCCTATAGCAGAGCGCTTTCCACACACCCACTACTTTCCTTTCGGCACGCCCATACTCCGTTCGCCATATTGAGCTGCCTCTACCCACCTCTCAATTGGAGGGGGGACTATGGAACTGTCTCCGTTTGTACGTACGTTAGTCACACGCGATATCTCAGACACCACTGGCACGATTTTGTCATAACTTGGGTGAATGATCCGTCTTGCCATAGAGATCTGGCATTTACACAATTACAATGATTGGCCCAAGGGGGGCGCTGTAGTAATCAACTGAAATTCAAAACTTTGAACAAGCATATGTCCTGTCCTGTTTGAGTTTGAATTGTCACTAATTGGCCCAAGTGCTGCATCATTCGTGGGGGACAACATGTTTACAGTTTTAGAGTAATACAGCTTAAAGGGCTCTGTCATAGGCTATTTATCATACAAGCAAAACATTTGCCCAGGAGCTGAATAGGTGAATCTTTGATAATTTTATTCAATATCTTCTGGTGAGATTCTCCTATTTGAGACATGATGAAATGTTTGATAGAGAACTTCATGGGGTCTCTATAGAGTAGACCTAAATTTGGCTCCATAACCTGTCATTCACTCAAGGGGAAATCATACGATCCCAATTCTTTCTCTGTCCACTGGTCAGTAGTGTATAGGATAACTTGACTGATCTGAAAAGCGTGATGAATATTTAGGTTCAATCAAACTTTCCCAATACAGAAGTTAGGTTGAAATCCTTTACATTAGGCTGCTTCACACATTCATGTCTTTATAACAATTACATTTCAACAGAATATTATCCACAATGAGTTGACTCTCCATCGTTAGGTTGATATGCCCTTTAGCAAAGATTATTATTGTCAAGCAAAATGTATCTCTGTCAAAATATACATCCATCCAAACAAAAGTTGTATCTATTGCTACATTTTTATCTTGATGATAATATGTATCATTGTAATAAAATATGCTTAAGTCTTGTTTCTTTTTGACAGTCATGGAATTTTGGATGATGGTCACGTTTTATAATCGTTATAATTTTTTAAGACAAACATTTTCTCATCTCCCTCCTGAGCTGTGCTGCTGCAGGGAGGGGGGTGTTGCCTAGGCAACCAAATACTTGTTTTCTACCAAAGCCTTGCTTGTTCAGCAAAGAGCAGCAAAGTTTCATTAAGTTGTAACGAGTCTGTTACCGTGGAAACGGACTCAACAGCCTAAATGCCCAGTCCTCCCGTCTTCAGTCAGCTGTTCTTTCCACACAAAAAAAGAAAACGGTTATGACGGTTATTTTAATTTTCATGACTGTCTTCATCCATAATCGTTGGTTACACGATTATACGGTAATTGTGCAAGCCCTAATTGTACTCGGAGGCACATAGTCATTATCTGACATAATAAATATTCATTTGTATTATTGTTTAGTTTTCTTTTCTCTTTTCTTTGGCAACAGGAGTCGCCCTGACCTCCCATTTTCCCCTTTCTATTTTTAGGGGATGGGCTTTTCCGCTGTCTGGATTGTGGAGAAGCCTTTGAGGAGGAGGCGGCCTACCAGGAGCATCAACATGAGCACACCCATGATGGACCCATAGTCTGCCTGGACTCTGACTCCCAATTGGATGGCTTGCTTGTTTCAGAGAGTGGGGGCCAACGAACACTATGTTGCGCTCTTTGTGGGCGCAAATTTGCAGACTCAAGGGGTTTTTACTCACACCAGGTCAAACACCGTAATGAAGCCCTCAAGCAGTCAACTCCTGTTTTGCAATCAACTCCTGATCAGAGCGCAGGGGTGGCTAAGCAGTATGTCTATGAATGTGAAGACTGTGGTAAATCCTATACTTCGATGGGCTCTTTCATCAGTCATACACGCTCACACAAGCAAGCTTCCAAATCAGTTTTCCATGAGCTGGCACACCTGAAAAAGAAGTCCTTTGAGTGTCAAACTTGTGGTCGCTGTTACTCCCGTGCATCAGCTCTTGACGCTCACCGCCGTTGTCATGAGGTCAAACTAATCCCGAAGTCCCGCAAAAGGGGTGCAGAGAAGCGACCTCCCGCAGAGGAGCCTGCCATTGCAACAGAGGACAGCAACAAAGCTTCTGAACAGATAGATGGGGCACAGGAAAATCTGTTTGGGTGTTCATGTGGCAAAACATTTCGTGCCCAGTCTGGCCTGAAAACACATCAACGATTTAGCCACAATGACAAATGTTCTCCTGAAAAGCTTAAGAGAAAACCCAAAAAATTTGACTGCAGTGAGTGTGAGAAGACCTTCAGTTCTTACGCCGGCATGCTCTGCCATCAACGCTATCATATGAAACGAGGTGGTAGTGGTGGCAAAAGGTTTCCGTGTGAGGAGTGTGGCAAGGTCTTCACAACGCTCACATTCTACTACAAGCACCAGCGTTTGGCTCATACTGAAGAGACTCCAGCAAAGTCTTTCCTTCATCAGGTTTGCCAGCTCCAGAAGAAAGCGTTTGAGTGTCAGGAGTGTGGGCTCCGGTTTTCCAGGGCCTCGGCTCTCCAGTCCCATCAGCTTTGCCACCACTATGTTTTTGGAGGGACTGAGAAAGAATCCCAGACACAAACATCCCCACTACCTCAACATAAGCTATTACTGGATAACAAGACAGAGACTGAAACATTTGCTTTAGGGGCCATTGTCTACCCACAGGACACCCCTCAGACCCCTGTGACGGAGAGAGACTCATCGTTCTATGAAACTGATGGGGATGCAGAGGCTGATGGAACTGATGATGTCAATGTAGAGGTGATCAGTGTAAGTGCCTCAGATGGCTCTGTAAGGGATGAAGAAGAATCACTACAAGAACTCAACCCTGATCTTGAATTACTGTGTGAATCAGACCAGGATGGAAAAGAGGAGATGGATGCTGTGTTGTGTCCAACGGAGTACTTCTCTAGTACACTTAAGTCTAAACCAGAGATTGATCTGAAAATTGTACAAATTGACTTTCTGCCATTTGAAGGCGAAGGAGCTCAAACGGAGAAGGTTCAGGAACAAGACCCACCTAAAAGATTTAACTGTCCTGAGTGTTACCGCTGGTTCACCAGTGCTGCATCTTTGCGCTCTCACAAACTGTGGCACAGAGTAGATGGCAAAAAACTATGGAGTCCTGAAAATGATATTTTCAAGTGCAATGTTTGTGGGTTTGACACTACACATCGGAAAACGTACCACAATCACATGCGAAAACACGATGGCCGAAAACCCCACAAGAGTGTATTGTACCAGCTTGCTGGACTACAGAAGAATAGCTTCAAATGTGAGGTGTGTGGAAAGTGTTTCTCACGCATGTCTGCCCTACACTCTCATCAGCAACAGCATCCAAAAAGCAAAGCTCATCCATGCCCAGATTGTGAGAAGACTTACTCTAATGCCAGTGGTTTGTACAACCACCGCAAAAGCTGCCGCGCTCAAACCCCCACCCAAGATGAAGTACCAGACACTAAAAGTGAAGTGTTTAATCCAAAGAAGACTTTATTAGGGCCCAAAGGTTTATTATTGCGAGCGATGTGGGAAGGGCTTCTGGTCTTTGGGTGCTTACGCTCACCACAAGCAGAATCAAGCTCAGTGTGTACATTTGAAGGAGAAGAATGAGCCAACCTTGTCTTCACATTCTGCCAATGGTCCTCCACATGTTCGTGGGAAAGTTGCCTGCCCTGTATGCGGGAAAGACATTTCGTCACCAAGGCATTATGAAATCTCATATGAGGAAACACGAGAATGGGAATCATAGATGTGAACTTTGTAGCAAGTCTTTTCGCATGTTCTCAAGCCTCCTCAGGCACCAGGTTGTACATAATGCTCGAATCCTCCCGCCTCCTATCAAGTCTTTTCAACATCAGGTAGAACAAGTGAAGAAGAACGCATACAGCTGCCCTGATTGTGGAAAACTGTTTTCACGAGCCAAGGCACTTAAATTCCACATGAAGAGCCATGGTTATGAGACTGACTACTCTGCCTCATCGCCTAAATCTGCTCTTGAGCTAGAGGGGCTGAAGTGTTCAACATGCCTTGCCCATTTCAGCAACAAATCCTCATTGCACACTCACCAAAAACAGTGTGGCAAGATAAAGACTGTCAGTAAAAGCCACAAGGAGGATATTGCCCAACATGACACAGTTCCTAAGGCGAAGAAGTTCAAATGTCCCTCCTGCCCTTCTCTTTTCAACAATTTACTGTCATTGCAGTATCATCGAAAAGAATGTGGCAAGTCGAGGGCAATTGGAGGCTTGGATGTAAAAGCGAAAGGAGGTTTAGAGAAGGAGACAAAGTGTGTTGTCCAAGACCTTGTGAAAACATCTCAGTCAAACAACTCTGGCACTGAGAAAATGACTCAATCTGTTGCTGAGAAGGAATGTGGTGAACAAAAGGAGATCAATGAGTCCCAAACCTTGAAGAAAGCTGCCACAATCAACGCAACTGATTTGAAATACAAATGTAAAGAGTGTGAGAGAAGCTTTGCCGTTGTAGGAGCACTGAATTTCCATAAAAGGATTCATGTTCTGGGTCACAAGTCTAAAGTAAAACCAAAGCTGAAATTGCAAGTGGCCGCAAGCCCTGAGGAACCCAAGCAACCCAAAAAGGTAGAGCATACAACTAAAGGCCAATTCTGTTGTTCAGAATGCGGAAGACGTTTTATCTCCAATGCAGCCCTTGGCACTCACAGACGATGGCACACAGATAAGAAGTTTGCTGGGTCACTGATAAAAGATGACAAGACAAATTCTGTTGGGCACAAGTCAGTGGATGAGGGACCTTTTCAGTGCAACAAGTGTGGAAAGGGATTCTTCTACCTGTGTGTTCTCCGCCGACACCAGTTGTATTATCCGCCATGTCAGACCAAAGCCGAACCAGAGCCTGCAGCTGACACCAGCATGGAAGGCAACCGCAAACCCTCACACGCTGAATTTGCATGTCCAGAATGTAACAAAACATTCGTCAAGGGCTCACTTTTAGCAGCTCACTATGAAAGTGAGCATAACAAACCCATTGAGTCTGCAGATCTTCAGGTGGACCAGTCCATGACCATGTCCATTGAAGAGGTCCCGGAGCAGCCTGCCACGTCACACAGCAAGTCTGAAGCCATTCCATTAAAGAAGCCAAAGCTTAAATTAAATCTTCACCAGTGTCCTCATTGTGATATGAGCTTCTTGAAGGTTCGAGGCTTGCGTGCCCACAAATGGCAGGCCCACTCCCAGGGCAAGAAGGTTAAGAGCAAGGGCACTTTGGCTGAGAGCAGGGACTCTGTTGCCATAAACAACTTGGATACCAAGGGAAATGAACTGGTTAATGAGAGTAAGGACTTAGTTACAGAAAACAAAGGCACGGTTGTCAAAACCGAACACTTTGTTACAAAGAGTAAGAATGCTGTTGGCAGAAGAAGGAAGAAGGGTCGACCGGGTTTCAAATCCATCCCTTGCGTTGACTGTGGGAAGAGATACAGTTCTTCTGGGGCACTCTATAATCACAAGAAGATCTGTGGAGTGCTCAAGCAGGAAGTTAAACCAGGAATGGCAGAAGTAGTGGCAGAGGAACCCTCATCACCAACCCGCCTCTATGAGCAGACAATCAAATGCCTCTTCAAGTGTGACAAGTGTGGCAAAGCTTTCCCAACTGAAGAGCAACTAGGAGCCCACAAGGACTTGGCAAAGAGCCGACCTCACTCTTGCACCCTGTGCTGCCGTGGATATTGGACTGAGACTCAGCTGCAACAGCACCTGGCCTGGCACGACGAGGTCCGCCGGCGACTCCCAACAGAGCTTCGTTACAGACTCAGTGCTTCTGTAAGCACAGGGCCCGCTAAGGTCAATGTCCCTCTGCCTGATTTGAAGGCGAAGTCATCCCTCAAGCCACCACCTACACCCCCCTCCCGGCCACAGAATAGCCACAAGTGCCAGCACTGTGGAAAAGCGTTCCTATCTCCAGGTGCTCTGCATAAACACGAGGCTCAACACGACAGCGATGGCTCCTACCGTTGCTCCCTTTGTCCCCGGACCTTCAGTGAGATTCGGGACCTCATTGACCATCACCAGGAATGTATGGGTGATGACAAAGGGCAGAGAGATCCCTACACTGCTGTCTCCTCAAGATATACTGATGGCCTTACTTGCATTGAATGTGGAATGTGTTTCAGTCGAGAGTTGGAGTTGCACCAGCACTACATTGAACATGCTCGTGGAGCATATTAGATTAACAATGGAACTACTACAAGGCAGGAGATATTAGAAGTCGAATTTGACTTTTTCATGCACTTATGCACCTCTTTCTACTTCAGTTTAATTTTCTCCAGGTTATTTTTCAAAGACCAAGTGTCCAAGAGACTTGCTAAATTTGACTATTCTAATTCTATTATAGAATGCTGTTAACATCATTGCAAATATATCCACTAAGTGCTTATTTTAGCTCTTGACACTTATTTGATATTTCTCAGGCTTTATTTCACACTGGACCTGTACAGAAATGTAAAAATGTCTAAAGAAAAACGCCTTTTATCAGTTCCCGTTTTAAAATGTGTCCTCTTGGTGTAGAAATAGAGAAAGATAAAGTTTGCTAACTGCGGTTACATTTAGAAAATGGTGCTATGTTTCTCTATGCCGAGAAATGATTACATCCTGTAAAGTACAGCAATTTGTCTGTCAAGGGAAGCACTAATTTAAGTTTGTTTTGCTTGACTTAGTATGCAAGGGGAGAAGACGTGAGTCACCCACTTTCAGTAACATGCACTTGACTGACTTTTGAAAAATTAATCAAGTTCTGGCTTTAACCTGTCTATATAAGATGGATGTTTATAGTATTACTAGTACCTATTTTTGTCTGTTTTCGTTTGCAAAATATTACCACACTAACATTGTATCATTAATGATTAGAAAAATTGAATGTTTTCCTGGATTTCACTACCAAAGTTCCCCAAATACTAACAGTTGATTTGTTACTTTTCTCTTACTTTCATGTGTTGTGAAAACATTTATCTATCGTAATGAGTTTGATTTAACCAACTGGTTTAGCATTTGTTCATGGAGTTATGTTATTTTCCTTGGTTTAAATGAAACCTTAAAGTTTTTAGACTATTGCTAATCTTTTGAAGTCGTTACCTTTATCACTAATTTCAATGTAACCTTTTCCTTGTACCTTTAAACTACTACTGGTGTCTAACTAATGCAGACATTAATGCAGACATGAAGAGTTTGAGTAAATGTTTAAAACTGTAGTTAAGTTTCCTGTGTGGTTCATTGTGTTGACTAAGTTATTGGTGTTAATGGGCCTTTAAGCTTGACTCAATAGATTCTAGAGGGTTTGCAGTCATGACGCATCATGTCATGTTTACCGTTGGTCGGAAATGGTTGAGAAACATTATAGATGATAAAACTCTTTAAAACTGCACTATGTACAGTGCATTCGGAAAAGTATTCACACCCCTTGACTCTTTCCACATTTTGTTACGTTACAGCCTTATTCTAAAATTGACTAAATTGTTTTTCCCCCCATTAATCTACACAATACCCCATAATGACAAAGCAAAAACAGGTTTTTATAAATTATTATTATTGTATAAAAAATAAACTATCACATTTACATAAGTATTCAGACCCTTTACTCAGTACTTTGTTGAAGCACCTTTGGCAGCGATTACAGCCTCAAGTCTTCTTGGGTATGACGCTATCAGCTTGGCACACCTGTATTTGGGGAGTTTCTCCCATTCTTCTCTGCAGATCCTCTCAAGCTTTGTCAGGTTGGATGTGGAGCATCGCTGCACAGCTATTTTCAGGTCTCTATAAAGATGTTCGATCGTGTTCATGTCTGGCCTCAAGGACATTCAGAGCCTTGTCCCGAAGCCACTCCTGCGTTGTCTTGGCTGTGTGCTTAGGGTCGTTGTCCTGTTGGAAGGTGAACATTCGCCCCAGTCTGAGGTCCTGAGCACTCTGGAGCAGGTTTTCATCAAGAATCTCTCTGTACTTTGCTCCGTTCATCTTTGCCTCGATCCTGACTAGTCTCCCAGTCCCTGCCGCTGAAAAACATCCCCACAGCATGACGCTGCCACCATCATGCTTCACCCTAGGGATGGTGCCAGGTTTCCTCCAGACGTGACGCTTGGGTACCCTTCCCCAGATCTGTGCCTCGACACAGTCCTGTCTCTGAGCTCTACGGACAATTCCTTCGACCTCATGCCTTGGTTTTTGCTCTAACATACACTGTCAACAGTGGGACCTTTTTATATAGACAGGTGTGTGCCTTTTCCAAATCATGTCCAATCAATTGAATTTACCACAGGTGGACTCCAAGTTGTAGAAACCTCTCAAGGATGATCAATGGAAAAAGGATGCACCTGAGCTCAATTTCGAGTCTCATAGCAGGGTCTGAATACTTCTGTAAATAAGGTATTTATGTTTCTTATTTTTAATAAATTTGCTAACATTTCTAAACCTGTTTATCGCTTTTTCATTATGGGGTATTTGTGTGTGTGTGTGTGTGTGTGTGTGTGTGTACAAACTCCACTATGGCCAAGACCAAAGAGCTGTCAAAGGACACCAGAAACAAAATTGTAGACCTGCACCAGGCTGGGAAGACTGAATCTGCAATATGTAAGCAGCTTGGTTTGAAGAAATCAACTGTGGGAGCAATTATTAGGAAATGGAAGACATACAAGACCACTGATAATCTCCCTCGATCTGGGGCTCCATACAAGATCTCACCCCGTGGGGTCAAAATGATCACAAGAACGGTGAGCAAAAATCCCAGAAACACACGGGGGGACCTAGTGAATGACCTGCAGAGAGCTGGGACCAAAGTAACAAAGCCTACCATCAGTAACACACTACGCCGCCAGGGACTCAAATCATGCAGTGCCAGACGTGTCCCCCTGCTTAAGCCAGTACATGTCCAGGCCCGTCTGAAGTTTGCTAGAGTGCATTTGGATGATCCAGAAGTGGATTGGGAGAATGTCATATGGTCAGATGACTTTTTGGTAAAAACTCAACTCGTCGTGTTTGGAGGACAAAGAATGCTGAGTTGCATCCAAAGAACACCATACCTACTGTGAAGCATGGGGGTGGAAACATGATGCTTTGGGGCTGTTTTTCTGCAAAGGGACCAGGACGACTGATCCGTGTAAAGGAAAGAATAAATGGGGCCATGTATCGTGAGATTTTGAGTGAAAACCTCCTTCCATCAGCAAGGGCATTGAAGATGAAACGTGGCTGGGTCTTTCAGCATGACAATGATCCCAAATACACCGCCCGGGCAACGAAGGAGTGGCTTCGTAAGAAGCATTTCAAGATCCTGGAGTGGCCTAGCCAGTCTCCAGATCTCAACCCCATAGAAAATCTTTGGAGGGAGTTGAAAGTCTGTGTTGCCCAGCGACAGCCCCAAAACATCACTGCTCTAGAGGATATCTGCATGGAGGAATGGGCCAAAATACCAGCAACAGTGTGTGAAAACCTTGTGAAGACTTACAGAAAACGTTTGACCTGTGTCATTGCCAACAAAGGTGTGTGTGTGTGTGTGTGTGTGTGTGTGTATATATATATATATTTTTTTTATTTATTTTTTATTTTTTTAAAATGCATTTTAGAATAAGGCTGTAACATAACAAAATGTGGAAAAGGTGAAGGGGTCTGAATACTTTCCCAATGCACTAACGTTTTGGGGGACCTGACCAAATTCACATAGAAATGTGTGTTATAGAACTGTCATTTTCATTGAAAGCAATTCTAAGAAGCGGTAGATACATTTTATGTGCGTTTTATTTCTATGCTTACAGTTCTTAAATTTAGTTTTTGTCTTTTACTTTCGGTTTTGTACACAAGCTGAAAATACAATATTTTTGGTTATGGAAAATATATTTCACAGCAGTGTAGATGGTACAATAATTCTCTACACTATACTTTGCTTTTTTTGTCACAAACTGAAATTAGGTTAACTATTTCAGCAACCAGGAAATGGCGGCGTGATTTCTGCGTAGTTAATCTTTTTTAATTGTTTCACACTTTCAAATGATAAAACCTATACAATTGTTCCAGTCTAAAAACAGTACTAGGTATACTTTATACAGTTTCAAAAGTATTGGCAGTGAATTTTTTGGGGGGGATAATCCTGAATGAGTCCTGAATAATGATGAGTGAGAAAGTTACTCACATATCATACTCCCAAGACATGCTAACCTCACACCATTACAGTAACAGGGGAGGTTAGAATTTTGGGGGGGTTATGCTATTTGTGCGTCTAACTTTCTCACTTATTATTTACGATTCATTCAGGATTATCTGTAATCATGGTAGAATCCACATTAATGTAGAAGTGTTTAGAAACATTCTATTCTTATTTACAGTAAAAGTGAATCCAAAATGACACTACATTATTTACCATTCATTTCTATTGGGCACAAAATAATCTGAAACACAACCAAAGCAAACAGCAAATGAATCCAACAAATTTGTAGAGTCACAAGCTTGATGTAGTCATTGCGTGAAAGGGAATATGGGACCAAGTACTTAACTTTTTCATACACATGTCCCCATACTTTTGGTCCCCTAAAATGGGGGGATCATGTACAAAAAGTGCAGTAATTTTCTAAACGGTTAATCCGATATGGATGAAAATACCCTCAAATTAAAGCAGCCTGCACTTTAACCACAGTCATTGCACACTACATGACCAAACGTATATGGACACATGCTCGTCGAACATCTCATTCCAAAATCATGGGCATTAATATGGAGTTGGTCCCCCCCATTTGCTGCTATAACAGCCTCCACTCTTCTGGGAAGGCTTTCCACTAGATGTTGGAACATTGATGCGGGGACTTGCTTCCATTCAGCAACAAGCATTAGTGAGGTTGCGAACTGATGTTGGGCGATTAGGCCTGGCTCGCAGTCGGTGTTCCAATTCATCCCAAAGGTGTTCGATGGGGTTGAGGTCAGGGCTCTGTGCAGGCCAGTCAAGTTCTTCCTCACCGAACTCGACAAACCATTTCTGTATGGACCTCGCTTTGTGCACAGGGGCATTGTCATGCTGAAACAGGAAATGCCTTCCCTAAACTGTTGCCACAAAGTTGGAAGCACAGAATTGTCTAGAATGACATTGTATGCTGTAGCGTTAAGATTTCTCTTCACTGGAACTAAGGGGCCTAGCCCGAACCATGAAAAACATCCCCAGACCATTATTCCTCCTCCACCAAACTTTACCGTTGGCACTATGCATTGGGGCACGTAGCATTATCCTGGCATCCACCAAACCCCAATTCGTCTGTCGGACTGCCAGATGGTGAAGCGTGATTCATCACTCCAGAGAATGCGTTTCCACTGCTCAAGAGTCCAATGGCGGCGAGCTTTACACCACTCCAGCCGACACTTGGCATTGCGTATGGTGATCTTATGCTTGTGTGCGGCTGCTCGGCCATGGAAACCCATTTCATGAAGCTCCGACAAACAGTTATTGTGCTGACGTTGCTTTCAGAGGCAGTTTGGAACTCGGTAGTGAGTTTTGCAACCAGGACAGACTATTTTTACGCACTTCAGCACTCGGCGGTCTCGTTCTGTGATTTTGTGTGGCCTACCACTTCGCGGCTGAGCCGTTGTTCCTCTTAGATGTTTCCACTTCACAATAACAGCACTTAGTTGACCAGGGCAGAAATTTGACGAACTGACTTGTTGGAAAGGTGGCATCCTATGACGGTGCCATGTTGGAAGTCACTGAGCTCTTCAGTAAGGCCATTCTACTGCCAATGATTGTCTATGAAGATTGCATGGCTGTGTGCTCAATTTTATACACCAGTCAGCAACGGGTGTGGCTGAAATAGCCAAATCCACTAATTTGAAAAGGGTCCACATACATTTGTTTATGTAGTGTATCATTTCAAATCCAAAGTGCTGGAGTGCAGCGCCAAAACAACCTGTCACACTTCCAGTACTTTTGTAGCTCACTGTATATGTTGGGGGTGTAAGTGGTGTGTGTTTGTATAATGTGATCAGTCTTGCAGTGTATTCTAATAAAGTATGTATCCAATCATGTTAATGATTAATGAGCCTAAATATGGAATGTTTTGAGGTGACAAGGAGTGTGATTTGAGCATATTGATCCTAGCAGTGGCGAGAACTACATACCTGTAAGTTTGAGTTTTCTCGTGCACTTAAAGTTGCAATATGTAACTTTCTGGGAGACCTGACCAAAATCACATAGAAATGTGAGTTATAGCTCTTTCATCCTCATTGAAAGCAAGTCTAAGAAGCGGTAGATCTGTTCTATTTCTATGCTTCCCGTTCTTAAGCTTCGTTTTTGCGTCTTTTACTTTGTTTTGTATACCAGCTTCAAACAACTGAAAATACAATACTTTGGGTTATTTAAAAGCTATTTCACAGTGGTTTAGATGTTACAATGATTCTCTACACTATACATTGCTTATTTTGCCACAAACTATTAGAATTTTAGCAACCAGGAAATGGCAGAGCGATTTCTGCATATTGCACCTTTAAAACACAATATGGTTGTGCCTGTGCTAAAATGTGTCAATTGGTGAAAACATCTTGCTTGTGAAAAATATGCCCCTTCATCCTAAATCCCACGGCGATGCTGCTGATAGTTTCTCAGATTGAATTGCCAAACTATCTTTACAAAATAATTGAAACAAGTTCAAATAAATTGTTGAAAGTTTAACAAAATTACAGGCATGTCACGGTACTATATTGTCCTAATTTATGCTCCCTTTCTCTCCTCCACAGTGAAACTAGCCAGCATGAGGTGTCAGGACTGTGGACAGCAGTTCACTCGCTGGGAGGCCTTCAAGACTCACCTTCGCAAGCATGTCCTGGAGGAGGCGATGGCGGAGGAGGAGGAAAGAAGGCAGAGCATCAAGAGAGCCCTGGAGACTAACAGGAGCAACAGCAATGTGGAGTCGGCAGCACCTGAGAAAAAGCAGAAAAAGAATGACGACGGTGATTATGAAGAGAACAGTGACGTAGACGTGGAAGGTGATGAAGAAGATGAAGAGTTCTTCGACAGTTCCTGGCAGGTCAGACCATCAGAGATTGTCACGGTTCGTCCCCGCGTCGCCATGCTGTCTGAGGAGGAGAAGCCAGTCTTCAGCAGCTCCCACAGGGTCTATGCATGCTCCATCTGTGGGAAGGTCTACTCCTACCTCGAGTCGTTTAGAAATCACCAGAAGACGCATGAAAAAGAAGAGAAAAAAAAACCCACGGAGAACAAGTGCCCGGACTGTGGGAAGGTCTTTGCTCGCCCATCCCTTCTGGTGACTCACTTGAAAGTGCACAGGCCTCCCGTGCCGATGGAACCCTCCACTCTGAAGTGCGATCAGTGTGTAAAAAACTTCAATTCCCTGCAGACGTATTTGATCCACATGGACCTGCACAAGCAGAAGCCCTTCTGGTGCCTGGCCTGTGCCAAGGGCTTTAGGGATGAGCTCTCTCTGGACAAACACCTGCAGGGCCACAACCTGAGGCGCCACAAGTGTGACATCTGTGAAAAATCTTTCCGCGTGCCCGCTGAGCTCCGCTACCACTACAATACTCACACCGGCGCCAAGCCCTACAAATGCACGCTCTGCAAGAAGAACTTCTCCCAGCTGGGCAACCTCATCACGCATCGGAAGAAGCACGTAGGGGTCTACGTCGGGGCCAGTAAGACCCCACTGGGACCCAGGAACCACCTGTTTGCTGGGAGGAGAAGGGTGACTGAGATGAAGAGGCTGGTGTTCACAGGGATGGGTAGCACAGAGGAGGCGGAGGTGATAGATACGCTTCAAGAGGAAGAGGAGCAGGAGGAGGAGGAAGAAGAGGAGGAGGATATTGAGGTGGCAGACGAGAAAGTGGGTGAGGAGGAATCTGGATCAGAAGAGTCGGGGTCTGAGTCTAGTTCTGAAGATTCTGGCGCTGAGGAGAAGGAGTCGTCGGGTTCGGAGTCGGGATCGTCTAAATCAGATTCATCAGACTCCTCTGGATCTGATTCCTCTGACGACTCTGATTCCTCTGGTTCAGGAGTGGAGGAGGAGGAGCAAGAGGGGAAAGAAGAGACTGCACTGGAAGCACTTGTGGCGGAGCAACAGAAAATACATAAGGAATGGGAGTGTTTTGAATGTGGTGAAGGGTTTGATCAAGAGTCAGCGTTGCACCTGCACTATATGAAACACGCCAGTGGGGAGCTGCCGGTACAATGACGGCCCAGTACATGGTGAGATTAGCGGTGAAATTATTGGTGAGTTGGGCACTGTTCAATGTGTTTCTACTACTTCAGAATTGAGTCACTGCTGAGCCCTTGAATTGAAGAACACTGAAGACAATTCCTAATGATTCCTCTCCTCATTGTTGATCACCAGTATGACTTATTTTTGTCATTTTTTCTGCCCTGTCAGGTTTTTTTTTCCGGCCTCAAATTTAAATGTTTTGAAGTGTGGGTTGAATGGGTGACTTTAGTTGTATGAGTTGAAGGCCATGAGGAAGTTAGCTTTTTTTCTTGCTACTTTGTCTTTACATTTAGATTGTTTTTGTGCCTTTTTGGTATGAAAGTGGTGTTTGGTTGAAGGGAGGGTCACTGTGTATTGCCGATTTTTGTAGACTCTGATTTCCAGAATTGAATTTCTTCAACTGTGCTTACCTAGAAGTCCAGGCAGATTGGCGTTTGTTTTTCACACCCATTTTCAATCCGAGAGATCTTTATTATTGTATTTACACCGACTATATAGCTAATTGTAATTTAAAAACTGTGATTAGATTTAGTGTTGCAGGGTTCCCTGAAATGTAATCTAAAAACAACTTGCTTTCTTTCTCTCCCTCTTCAATTTGATTCAATCATGTCTATTTCAATCATGTTTTTCATTATGAAATCTAGCTTTCTTTTGAAGTAAACTTGGGTGTTTCATTTGTCAGTAATGGGAAGACATTGTCTGAACATGACTCATTTGCAGGGATTGGAAACTATTTCATATATATATATATCTCCAGCCTACTGTAGTAGTTGCTATGTTACCATTACCATGTAATCTAGTATGTACCAGGAATTCATCTTCGATACAACCATATCACTCACTCTTCTATCAGTCTGATAACCTATTCAGCTATATGTTTTTTGAAAAAGCTTCACATAGGATTTTTTTGATCTGGATGAAATTCCTGTTTTTGTAATAATAAAAATGTAACTTGTGTGATAATAAATTAAATGCATTTTGAGTCCTCTCTTTGTATGTGTACTTTCCATTTTAGTCATTTAGCAGACGCTCTTCTCCAGAGCGACTTACAGTTAGTGCATACATTTTTCATACTGGCCCCCCCGTGGGAAACGAACCCACAACCCTGGCGTTGCAAGCGCCATGCTCTACCAACTGAGCTACATAGATGAGATGTTCTTTACAACACAATTGCCTTCTCACTATGGTCTTAAATCAAACTCAAACATTTCATTCAGATTGTAATGACTGTTTGTCATAAGTATTTCAGCCATTTTAGACTCCAACCCTGCATTTGTGTGTGCTTGGCACATTTTCTGCTCTGTGTTGCAAAGGGCGACATCTACTGGCCTATGTGCATTTCTCCAGTCACTGTGGATTTTTTATTTAATTTTTTACCAGGCAAGTCAGTTAAGAACAAATTCTTATTTACAATGACGGCCTACACCGGCCAAACCCGGACGACGCTGGGCCAATTGTGCACCACCCTATGGGACTCCCAATCACGGCCGGTTGTGATACAGCCTGGAATCGAACCAGGGGGTCTGTAGTGACGCCTCAAGCACTGAGATGCAGTGCCTTAGACCGCTGCGCCACTCGGGAGCATGACTCCAGTCCATTGGTTTTGAGGAAGCTGTCTGATAAGTAATGTTTGATTGCTGGTTGATGTATGGCTGAACAGATACTAAGTTTTAATCTTCTTCTTTTTTAACAATATGAATATTGCTATAGTAATCAAACATACATTTATCACAATGTATGTTGTCATGCTTTATAAGCTCACCAAATCATAGCTGACTAAACTCAACTCCATGGTGAAGGAAGTTTCTGATGAACTCCACCAATGGAGTTGAGCAGAAACCAGGCTTTGTGGAATTCGGCTCCATCTACATCAGTGGTCACCAATCTTTTCTGAGTCCAAAAGCAAGCAGAGATCTACCACTCAGATATATATATTTTTTTAAACATGTCTTAAAAAACATAAGCCTATGCAACATGAACCTATTAAAAACAGTTCTGTAGCAATGAGGTTTGTGCTGTAGGCGCAATACATTATCATTGCATATTGGCTATGCTTGAATTGCCCTGCCAATGTTCTTCTCAGACCATTTTGAAATTATATTTCAAAATTGTAGGTATATGATCACACTGGTAATAGATAATGTGTTGTAATTCTTGTGAGGCACAGCTGAGTGAGCATAATTAGTTTTTTTATTTTACTGGGCTGATAGCCTGAATCTGATGGTCAGTCTGAGGGGCGGGAGAGAACAGCGGTGAGTCTGCCTCACCGTACTCACCGTCCTTCCGCTCACCCTCCCTCTGCTGAGAAAAGGGGACACAGGCTTCCTGCTGATGGCGAAACTCAAATCGCACTGCATAATTTCTGCCTCATGCACCAATTCATGTTGTTACTACTAAGACCAGAGAAAGTGAAATATTTCTCGATATTAAAAGCCGCTAATAATAACAATGCAAGCTTATCGAAACACTGCTATACTCATTCATAGCTGCTGCAATGCTGTTTGTAGCGTGAGTGGAAGTAGGGAGAATGCGCATTTTATAGCTTATCAAAGTGTTGACAGTGCACAACTTAAACATAAACTTTTTAAAACAGCAGCTCCTTGCTGTATTCATGAGTCTCTGTAGTCATGGTTTTAAATGTTTTGAAATCTCACTGAGTCAACTTTGCTGTGCGCTCGAGGCTTCTTTTTAGACATGGTGATCTGAGCTATCTGATTAGCCAGTGGTAGGTCTATAGGTGCACTGATTTGTCTTTTATAAAAATATTTTTTTAGGGGGTAGATCAGCTTTAATATTGCAGATAGATTGTAGCTTCCATCAATGTAATTGTCTGCATCATTTCCAATCCCCCATTTTTTTGTAAATATATTTATATATACATACATATAAATACACATACAGTACCAGTCAAAAGTTTGGACACACCTACTCATTAAAGGGTTTTTCTTTATTTTTACTATTTTCTACATTGTAGAATAATAGCGAAGACATCAAAACTATGAAATAACACATGGAATCATGTATCAAATTAAATCAAATGTTATTTGCCACATGCACCGAATACAACAGTGAAATTCTTACTTACAAGCCCTTAACACTTTTTTTTCTTAAAACTGCATTGTTGGTTAAGTAAAAATAAAAATAAATCATTAAAGAGCAGCAGTAGAATAAAATAACAGTAGGGAGGCTATATACAGGGGGTACAGAGTCAATGTGCGAGGGCACCGGTTAATCGAGGTAATTGAGGTAATATGTACATGTGGGTAGAGTTAAAGTGATGTTTGGACCATGATAGTTTGTTGGTGATGTGGACACCAAGGAACTTGAAGCTTTCAACCTGTTCCACTACAGCCCCGTTGATGAGAATGGGGGCGTGCTCAGTCCTCTTTTTTCCCCCTGTAGTCCACAATCATCTCCTTTGTCTTGATCACGTTGAGGGAGAGGTTGTTATCCTCCCTATAGGCTGTCTCGTCGTTGTCGGTGATCAGGCCTACCACTGTTGTGTCATCGGCAAACTTAATGATGGTGTTGGGAGTCGTGCCTGGCCATGCAGTCATGGGTGAACAGGGAGTACAGGAGGGGACTGAGCACACACCCCTGAGGGGCCCACGTGTTGAGGATCAGCGTAGCAGATGTGTTGTTACCTACCCTTACCCCCTGGGGGCGGCCCGTCAGGAAGTCCAGGATCCAGTTGCAGAGGGAGGTGTTTAGTCCCAGGGTCCTTTGATGGCACTATGTTGTAGAACGCTGAGCTCTAGTCAATGAATAGCATTCTCACGTAGGTGTTCCTCTTGTCCAGGTGGGAAGGGCAGTGTGGAGTGCAATAGAGATTGCATCATCTGTGGATCTGTTGGGGCGGTATGCAAATTGGAGTGGGTCTAGGGTTTCTGGGATAATGGTGTTGCCTTTCAAAGCACTTCATGGCTACAGATGGGAGTGCTACGGGTCGGTAGTCATTTAGGCAGGTTATCTTAGTGTTCTTGGGCACAGGGACTATGGTGGTCTGCTTGAAACATGTAGGTATTACAGACTAAGTGAGGGACATGTTGAAAATGTCAGTGAAGACGCTTGCCAGTTGGTCAGCGCATGCTCGGAGTACACGTCCTGGTAATCCGTCTGGCCCTGCGGCCTTGTGAATGTTGACCTGCTTAAAAGTCTTACTCACATCGGCTACGGAGAGCGTGATCACATAGTCATCCGGAACAGCTGATGCTCTCATGCATGCTTCAGTGTTGTTTGCCTCGAAGCGAGCATAGAAGTGATTTAGCTCGTCTGGTAGGCTCGTGTCACTGGGCAGCTCGCGGCTGTGCTTCCCTTTGTAGTCTGTAATAGTTTGCAAGTCCGGCCACATCCGACGAGCGTCGGAGCCGGTGTAGTACGATTCAATCTTAGTCCTGTATTGACTCTTTGCCTGTTTGATGGTTCGTCGGAGGGCATAGCGGGATTTCTTATAAGCGTCCGGGTTAGAGTCCCGCTCCTTGAAAGCGGCAGCTCTACCCTTTAGCTCAGTGCGGATGTTGCCTGTAATCCATGGCTTCTGGTTGGGGTATGTACGTACAGTCACTGTGGGGACGAGATCATCGATGCACTTATTGATGAAGCCAGTGACTGATGTGGTGTACTCCTCAATGCCATCGGAAGAATCCCGGAACATATTCCAGTCTGTGCTAGCAAAACAGTCCTGTAGCTTAGCATCTGCGTCATCTGACCACTTCCTTATTAACCGAGTCACTGGTGCTTCCTGCTTTAGTTTTTGCTTATAAGCAGGAATCAGGAGGATATAATTATGGTCAGATTTGCTAAATGGAGGGCGAGGGAGAGCTTTGTACGCGTCTCTGTGTGTGGAGTAAAGGTGGTCTATAGTTTTTTCCCTCTGGTTACACATTTAACATGCTGGTAGAAATTAGGTAGAACAGATTTAAGTTTCCCTGCATTAAAGTCCCCGGCCACTAGGAGCGCTGCCTCTGGATGAG